TGCAAGGAAGGCGTGTGCGCACCAAGAGCTTCACCTGATGCCGCCATTAACGCGTGCACAGCGGTCTTCGTCCTCGACACACAATCGACAGACCCGGGTTCAATCTCCGACCAGGAGAGAAATGGTTGGGCATGTTTCCACTTTCCCCTGATGCCTATGTTCACCTTGCAGGAAAATAGGTTCCCTGGAAGTTAGACGATTGTAGTGGGTTGTATACTACGGAAAGTCAGTACTTTACTTAGGGGGGGGGGCCTTTAATAGCCCAAGTACAAGCTTTGTCCTGGACAACGGAAATCTAGATTAAAATGAACAAATCCACAAGGGCCGTGATGAGGGTTCGAACCTACGTCCGAGAGGATCCCAGACGCGCCTTAATCGGCTGTGCCACGACACGGTAAAAGAATTGCAACCGGGAGTTCATCTGCCCTCACTCTGCCCTTGTGGATTTGTTCATTTGATGCATCACGCTACTGTGATTTCTGTGTATGGAAATCTAGATTCTTCAGTATTCTAGCAGTTTTCAGCGATATCTCAAAACAGGTGTATCCAAGCTTATTTGTACGCCTAGGAATACGCTACGATACTTGAGCGCATACAACTGCCAATAAAAATGAGAATTTGGTCCCTCTATATAAAACCTGCAGCAGTACGAGTCAGGCAGCAGCAGACACCGCTCCTGTGCCAGTTAAGTTCACTACGGGCTCACCATATAGCCTGTGCTACTTGGAACTTGTTCCGAGTAGCTGAATCTATAACAACAACAACAGAGTCAGGCGGCGCAGCGCGCTACCTGCTCATATTTGTGTTGGGAGGGAGAGAGACACAGAGGGCACAGTCTTGGCATCAGCCCCCACTGTGTGTGTTACAACAGCTCACCTCAACACGCCCTTCTTATCTAGGCCACAATTATTTATCACCTGCGGCTTAGCAGAAGATTTGAGGGAGCCATGTCGTAAGGATCAAGGGTTTATACATGCCGTCAGGCAAGCGCCTATGTACCTTTTCGCAAACATACATACATACACATACATACACATACATACAATAGTGTGCAACGCCGCCTCAGCTCTTATTTACTACACACCACTACTCATAATTCTCAGAGTATTTTATGCTTATTAACACCACTGATTATGCCAAAACCTGAAAGGTGGAATGTTAAACCAAATGTTACATCTCTATAAATGTTTAACTATGAAATTGATAAACTATTTAGATCACTCAAACTGCAAAATATTCTTTAATAATAACAATTTAAGAGGTAAATAGAGCCCTCTTTAATACAGGAATATTGTATAATACAACCTCGATACAAGCCTAACATCCACAGGCTGCCTGTCAAATTCAATTTCTGTATTATGCACCCCATCCCGTGGGCGGTGGTGTAAAGGGTTACTGAGGCACTATAATCGGTTCAGGAACTGAACCCTCTAGTTCGTTTAGCTAAGTAAATAACAATCTTTTGACGCTAGTTACACAATTATTAATGTTACATATACATGTACACATACACATACATGTACATATACATACATACATACACATATACAATATCCTACACAAATACACACCAATAATCTGTTGTATCAAGTGATTCAACAAGAGGCTCACAACAGTCACTATACAAGGCACTTTACATCTATGGTGAGTCACAGTTACTAGTCTTGCTCCACACCCACCCAACTGGGCGGCAGCTTTACAGTCATGTGCTCCACACCCACCCAACTGGGCGGCAGCTTTACAGTCATGTGCTCCACACCCACCCAACTGGGCGGCAGCTTTACAGTCATGTGCTCCACACCCACCCAACTGGGCGGCAGCTTTACAGTCATGTGCTCCACACCCACCCAACTGGGCGGCAGCTTTACAGTCATGTGCTCCACACCCACCCAACTGGGCGGCAGCTTTACAGTCATGTGCTCCACACCCACCCAACTGGGCGGCAGCTTTACAGTCATGTGCTCCACACCCACCCAACTGGGCGGCAGCTTTACAGTCATGTGCTCCACACCCACCCAACTGGGCGGCAGCTTTACAGTCATGTGCTCCACACCCACCCAACTGGGCGGCAGCTTTACAGTCATGTGCTCCACACCCACCCAACTGGGCGGCAGCTTTACAGTCATGTGCTCCACACCCACCCAACTGGGCGGCAGCTTTACAGTCATGTGCTCCACACCCACCCAACTGGGCGGCAGCTTTACAGTCATGTGCTCCACACCCACCCAACTGGGCGGCAGCTTTACAGTCATGTGCTCCACACCCACCCAACTGGGCGGCAGCTTTACAGTCATGTGCTCCACACCCACCCAACTGGGCGGCAGCTTTACAGTCATGTGCTCCACACCCACCCAACTGGGCGGCAGCTTTACAGTCATGTGCTCCACACCCACCCAACTGGGCGGCAGCTTTACAGTCATGTGCTCCACACCCACCCAACTGGGCGGCAGCTTTACAGTCATGTGCTCCACACCCACCCAACTGGGCGGCAGCTTTACAGTCATGTGCTCCACACCCACCCAACTGGGCGGCAGCTTTACAGTCATGTGCTCCACACCCACCCAACTGGGCGGCAGCTTTACAGTCATGTGCTCCACACCCACCCAACTGGGCGGCAGCTTTACAGTCATGTGATCCACACCCACCCAACTGGGCGGCAGCTTTACAGTCATGTGCTCCACACCTACCCAACTGGGCGGCAGCTTTACAGTCATGTGCTCCACACCCACCCAACTGGGCGGCAGCTTTACAGTCATGTGCTCCACACCCACCCAACTGGGCGGCAGCTTTACAGTCATGTGCTCCACACCCACCCAACTGGGCGGCAGCTTTACAGTCATGTGCTCCACACCCACCCAACTGGGCGGCAGCTTTACAGTCATGTGCTACTGGCAATATTAGCTGTCATTTTCCCCTTCCCGTAGGGAGGTTTAAGCCTTACCCTACTAGTTCTCCAACCACTTGGGCTGGACGGTAGAGCGACTGTCTCGCTTCATGCAGGTCTGCGTACAATCCCCGACCGTCCAAGTGGTTGGGCACCATTCCTTCCCTCCCCGTCCCATCCCAAATCCTTATCCTGACCCCTTTCTAGGGCTATATTCGTAATGGCTTGGCACTTATCCGTTCAGCCCCGCTCCTGGCTAGGTAAGTCCATTACGGGCTCATCATAGCCCGTGCTACTTTGAACTTTTTGTTCCCAGTAGCTGAATCTATAACATAACAGCACTTCCCCCTGATAGTTCCCTCTCTGCCTGCTACACGACCAATCAGTGTTTACAACTTGGTCCCCAATCTTTATTCACCCCCCCCCCTACTCATCCAACAGCCCATTCTCATAAAGCCAAATCCTTGTTAATCCAGCAACCAAACTCTGTTTATGAATGAACAACTCTTTACACACTACTCAACTGATGACGTCTGAACACTTCCGGCACAAGTGCTTCACTGACCAGCCCGTCCTCCAAACAAAGACCCAAAAGTGATTCCACGCACCCGTCAAACCCTCAGCTGTTTATGAATGAACAACAGTTTACACACGACTCACAACTGATGACGTTCGAATATTTCCGGAACAACGTGCTTCACTGACTAATTCTGTTCGAACTTCAAAGCTGTAAATACTTCACTCACGTATAACAATTAATCTGCAACAGAACCTAAACACCTAACCTATGTATATATATATTAGCACAATATGCTAATATATCATAATTTATATGAGAAAATTCCTGTTTTGAATGAACAGCATGTTAAAATTTACGAATGCGTCTGCGGGGTCGACCGCTGGATGGAAAGGACATGCTCTGATGACAGATTACACTGTCGAATTTTGTTCAAACCACAACGCTGTAAATGCTTCACCCACGTACTACAAATACAAATAATCGCCAATGGAACCTTAACACCTAACCTAACAATGATAATATATTAATTTATTAGAGAAAATTCCCGTTTTGAATAAATAGCATGTAAAAATTTATGAATGCGTGTGTGGGGTCGACCGCTGGATGTAATGGACTTTAGGCGAGGACGGGTTACTGTAAGTGCTTCACCCACCTACTACAAACAACTAATCGCAAACAGAATTAAAACACCTGACCTAACCTACGTTTAACTATACATTGAATTTTATTGTATAAATTTATAGAACAATCATATTACACCATTTACGGGCTCACCATAGCCCGTGCTACTGGAACTTATTGTTCCGAGTAGCGAATCTGAAACAACAACATATTACACGGTTAAAATGGGTGAATGCGCTTCGGGGAACGGCCGCTGCTTTAACGAGCCTGGCCTGAGGGCTATGTTCATTTAACCGTCTCTATATGCATATTCATTAATTTTAACAATGTAATAAAAATGTTTGTTCTCAATAGGTTACTATTGTATATTAAAGTTATGTATAACTAGAATCGCGTAGGTTAGGCGTTTAGGTTTCATTGGAGTATATTTGTGAGAGACATTAACAGCGTTGCTATTTGAAGAGGCCGTCAGCTGAGCATTTTTGAACGTCATATTAAAATAATCCGTTTAAGTAAAAAGTACCCCCCCCCTTCCCCATTTATAAACAGTGGGTTTGGCGGCTGGATTAACGCAGCCTCCTCTCGACCGTTCCCAACATCACTAAATTGATGTACTAAATTGTCGGCACCTAACCTAAAATTGCCCGAACCCGAATAGAAAGTGGGACAGTCAATTTTGTGAGCAGCTGTGATTTTTGGCAAGTCAGTTTTTGGCATTAGGGGAATAATATATCAAAATGCGATGAACAAGAGGACGGGTTGGTTAAGGAGCATTTGGCCAGTGCTGATTAGGACGGGCCAAGTCTGGTAACATTAGGGAAGCGTTTAGGGTAATTTAGTTCAATTAAAATGAAATTACTGACGGAAGGTTGCAAAAACTGCATAATTATATTTATCTTATAAACAAATAATGCTATACAAAGTACCAATACATTATAATACTTATTAGTAATAAATGTTACAAAGAGCACTGACCGCAGCAACAGCAGAGCAGCAGCGACGCCAGCAGCATCTTGGACGATGATCCTTCAAGTAAGTTTCGAATCGTAATACATAGAATTTCTGTCTCAAGGTCACAGTTCGTCGAGGTTGACCTGTCCACGCCCCGTTCAGTTCTGCTTACAATTTACCATAGTTTACTTACGACTGTTCCCAGAATATTAGCCGAAAATTCACTGCCGATATCATATATATATGAAAGCGTATCTGAACATAAGACAATACCGATATTTAATGTGGCACCCCTTATAGGATAGGGTGAGGGGCTATAACGATGTTTTAGATTCAGCTACTCAGAACGAAGTGTCCAAGTAGCACGGGCTATGGTGAGCCCGTAACCGGCTATGACGAGGGGATTGGGTGAAGGCTGGGCACCACGAGGAGCGTAGACGGTACCAACTGTCGGCCACGGCAGCTGGCTCACTACTGGCCGCCAGGCTCCCACCACACTCCTGGTTAACTCACTAACTACAACTCTACAGCCCGTTCCCACTTGACGAGCCTCGGCTATAGTTACCATATACTTATTGACAATGTGCGCACGAACCTCAACAAACCTCATTGTCTTATACCCTTAGAATTTATTCTTGAAGAAATATATTAATTAGAACGTAATTTAGAACACATTTTCAATAATGTACTAGAGAAATTAAATTGAGAACAAGAGAAATTCTGCCCGAAACGCTGTGCGTACTAGTGGCTTTACAAGATTGTAATTACTATACTATGTATCCTCACAATCCCAATGTACCTTCTTGTATATAAATAAATAAATAAATAAATAAATAAATAAAATAAAAAAATGTTGCAGTCAAAAAAATTGAAAAAAATTATAATAACTGGTTATGATATAATAAAATTATTCTTAACAAATATTATGTATAGTCTTTTCTTCCATTTGATGACTATGACACAACTTTACAAACACTGAAACTGTTTCTGCTAAATTCTTATATATTACCATTTTTTTGCTTGAAGGAGAAGGCGCGCTAAGAGCTGCCTTCTCTTGATTTATTCACAAGTAGTCAAAATGATTGAAGACGTTAGTGATGCGTCTCTTCTTGGTAGGCACGAGCATCTTAAACCTTTACTGGTATGAACATTATAATGTCACTCCTCTTGAGTACCATCTTGAGGTTATCTTGAAATGATTTCGGGGCTTTTTTTTTTTAGTGTCCCCGCGGCCCGGTCCTCGACCAGGCCTCCACCCCCCAGGAAGCAGCCCGTGACAGCTGACTAACACCCAGGTACCTATTTTACTGCTAGGTAACAGGGGCATAGGGTGAAAGAAACTCTGCCCATTGTTTCTCGCCGGCGCCTGGGATCGAACCCAGGACCACAGGATCACAAGTCCAGCGTGCTGTCCGCTCGGCCGACCGGCTCTACCATACAGAAAACAACAACATTTTATCTCTTACCTTTGTTGGTTATGCTAGATTAGGCTAGGCTTGGCTTGGTTAGGTTAGGCTAGGCTAGATTAGACTAGGTTAGGTTAGGCTAGGTTAGTTATTGTTAAATTATTGTAAATGTCATTGACACACTGCAGTTCGTCAAAGACAATGGCGTTGATCCAAGCACTGCATTAGTGACTGGAACATTTCTTGGAGGCATTCATTGTTTCCATTTGTTAATCACGTGATAACTGTCCACTATTATAATTAGATTTCACGATGCTTCTTTCAATATCTCTACAAGGCACAACAAATAATTATAATTCGTTTTGTCGGGGAACAAGGAAGCCTTTGCATGTTCAGTATATACAAAGTATAATTTAATATATACAAATATGTATAATAGAATATTTAATATAATATAACTATTAGTATAATATAATATAAATATACATTAGGCTTGCATCGAGGTCCCTCCAAGGATGCAACTATGCAAGGAAACGTGTTCAACCATTCATTCCAACCCGTCCTCGACTCAAGTCCATTACATCCAGCGGTCGACCCCACAGACGCATTCATAAATTTTAACATGCTGTTCATTCAAAACGGGAATTTTCTCAAGTATAAATTAATATTATAATATATTGGCATATTGTGTATATATAGGCATAGGATAGGTCAGGTGTTTAGGTTCTGTTGGCGATTATTTGTATTTGTAGTACGTGGGTGGAGCATTTATAGCGTTGCGATTCGAACAAAATTCGTCAGTGAAGCACTTGTTCCGGATATGTTCGAACGTCAGCAGTTGTGAGTCGTGTGTAAACCGCTTTTCATTCATAAACAGGGGGTTTGGCGGGTGGATGGAATCACTTTTGGATCTTTGTTTGGAGGACGGGCTGTTCATTCCCGCCCGGGAGTCGAACCCGGGAGTCGAACCCGGGATTCCCGAGTGAGTCGAGAACAAACCCAACTACACTACCGAAACCTTGGTAAGGCTACTATAGAGTGTAAGCTGGTAGAGACTTGAATTAGTGAGGAGTGAATCAGATGTGGAAATTGATGCAATCTGAACATCTTTCTACAATCAGCATTACCAAAAGGTAGTAGAACTGTTTCTTATTTTGGAAATTGACGAAAGACGCCATCGATCTGTTGGTCGTGAGGAAAACAATAAAACAGGAAATCTCGATCCACCAGAACGATGGAATACCTTGAATGAAATCTTCACAAAATTTTCTTACACCACCTCACTGTAGGGAGCCGGTCGGCCGAGCGGACAGCACACTAGACTTGTGATCCTGTGGTCCCGGGTTCGATCCCGGGCGCCGGCGAGAAACAATGGGCAGAGTTTCTTTCGCCTTATTCCCCTGTTACCTAGCAGTAAAATAGGTACTTGGGTGTTAGTCAGCTGTCACGGGCTGCTTCCTGGGGGTGGAGGCCTGGTCGAGGACCGGGCCGCGGGGACACTAAAGCCCCGAGATCAACTCAAGATAGAGCTAAACCAACGTCTCTGTGGCTTTACTAACAGGATCGATTATTAATTGGCAGAACAATTATTGCCATAAAATGTATGTAAAATGTATTATTCATATGAGTTGCCTAACTACCGGCTATCTATTTACTGTTAGGTGAAGTTTCATTTGATACAGTTTGCTTCGTTCTGGAATCAGGAATCCCGGGGGGGGGGACAGAAATGGTTGGGCACGTTTCCTAGTACTAAATAGGTCTCCTGGAATTAGGCAGCTGTTGTGGGGGCTGCATCCTGGGAAAGGTCAGTGGTTCAACCTTGGAAATAATCAAGGTTCCCCCTCGCTCAGGTACTTGGGCTGGACGGTAGAGCGACGGTCTCACTTCATGCAGGTCGGCGTTCAATTCCCGACCGTCCCAAAGTGGTTGGGCACCATTCCTTCCCCCCGTCCCATCCCATATCCTTATCCTGACCCCTTCCAAGTACTATATAGCCATAATGGCTTGGCGCTTTTCCCTTGGTAATTCCTTCCTTCCCTCCCCCTCCCCACCAAGGCTGAACTACTTTCCCCCACCAAGGCTGAACTACTTTCCCCCACCAAGGCTGAACTACTGTCCTCGACAAAGCACATTAGTTCTGTCTCAACCTGGAATCGAACTTAGGGTCCCCGAATGTGAGACGAGAACAAAGCCAACTGTACTACTAGTTATTTAGTTACGAAAACTAGTTACGGCCTGACCGGCCGGGGTCAAATCAGATTATGATTTAGTTAACCATAGAGTAGAGAGAGAAAACGTTTTAAATTATGGTGTTGACGACGGGAAACACGTCTATAATGATCATTTGAGGAAACTTGATCTTAGGAAATCATGTACAGGAGCGAGTCATGATATCTCATCAGGCTACGATGATTATGAGTTTGAGTGAGAAACATCAAGGGTAAGTGAGATACATCAAGGGTGAGTGAGAGACATCAAGGGTGAGTGAGAGACATCAACGGAGAATGCGGGCGACCAAATACGAGCATAAAACAAAATACCAACAACAACAGCCAGCGGAAACCACCAGTACAAGTGTGAGTGTTACATCATCAATAACCCCGCTGGTTCTAAGCAGAAACACCTCCCATGACAACACCATTGAGTCCTCTCTCTCCATCACCACCATGAGCGTAGCTCTCATCCTGTAACTACCCTTAGGTAATTACCACTCCGTCAAAAATGCGACGGTCTAGCCGAACCAAAAGCGTCAGAACCTGGTCAACCCACCCACCCAGTTGTTTTAAGTAACGTTAATATTGCGGTGGTTTTAATTCATCTAAACTACAATAATTTTTACGTCTGGATCGAAAACGTAAAACTGTAGGACAGTCTGAGAGCAGCAGTACACCGAGAACTTCAACAAAATCTTGTAGATCTGAGGCAAAGTGAAATCGACACCAGTAATTTCATCTATCATCATACTATCATGCAAGAGGAGCCACACATCTATGGTTCATCCAATAAAATTAGTAGACTTCTAGATGTTACTACTGCTCGGCGTAGACTCGGTTACAAGTATCTCTGGGAATTCTCATTACCTGCTGATGTAGACCTGACCAAATGTAAACTGTGTCAACAAAATTATTCACACACCCTCCGTCATTATGTGATGAAGTGCGAAAAGATAAGTGAATTCAGAAACAATTATATAACCAATGTTCCAACGATGTGTAAATATTTCATTCAAAATGATCTGCTACCAGAAATTTTAGCCAAATATCCCCAGTGTGCTAACTGTAGGTAGTAACTAAGTGATTGTAACCTATCCACCGCTGCCCACTGGATGGGGGGCGGTGTGCAGGACAAACATATCAATTGTGTCACTAGCTCTCCACATATGTCAGTTGCTTAATTTAGAACCTGTACTTGAGGTCGATCTCGAACCCATTGATGATGTAACGACTTATATTGAATTTTATAACTAGCTCATCAAGATTGTAACTTGCTTAGCTAAATGAATTGTGGGGTTCAGTCCCTGAGCCCATTATGTGCCTCTGTAACCCTTTCCACTACCGCCCACAAGATGGGTATGGGGTGCATAATAAATGAACTAAACTAACTATGTACGTATATATGTATATATATATATATATATATATATATATGCAAACAAGCCTGAATGGTCCCCAGGACTATATACAACTGAAAACTCACACCCCAGAAGTGACTCGAACCCATACTCCCACAACTGGTATGTACAGGGACGCCTTAATCCGCTTGACCATCACGACCGGACATAAGGAAGTGATAGCCGAGGCTATATGAACCACTTCCCCGCCGGCACTCGGATGGTAATCTTGGGCATAGCATTTTATCAAATCACCTGCCCAAAAGAATGTGTGCCCCAAAGAATGAGGTGATTTGATAAAATGCTATGCCCAAGATTACCATCCGAGTGCCGGCGGGGAAGTGGTTCATATAGCCTCGGCTATCACTTCCTTATGTCCGGTCGTGATGGTCAAGCGGATTAAGGCGTCCCTGTACATACCAGTTGTGGGAGTATGGGTTCGAGTCACTTCTGGGGTGTGAGTTTTCAGTTTATATATATATATATATATATATATATATATATATATATATATATATATATATATATATATATATATATATATACATATATACATATATATATATATATATATATATATATATATATATATATATATATATATATATATATATATATATATATATATATATATATATATATATATATATATATATATATATATATATATATACATATATATGTATATATATATATATACATATATACATATATATATATATGTATATATATATGTATATATACATATATATATATATATATATATATATATATATATATATATATATATATATATATATATATATATATATATGTATATATATATGTATATATATATATATATATATATATATATATATATATATATATATATATATATATATATATATATATATATATATATATATATATATATATATATATATATACATATATATATATATATATATATATATATATATATATATATATATATATATATATATATATATATATATATATATATATAAAGCTTCCTGTCCCCGTCAATGGGAATTATTAAACGAAGGAATGTGTTGCAACTCAGCGGGCCTCCTCCTCCCCGTCCCGCCTTCCTCCTCTCCCTCCCCGTCCCTCTACCCCCTGTCCAACCCTCGCTCCACCCTGCATCGCCTCTTCTCCGCTGCGGCCAGCCCGTCCCACCGTCTCTCTGTCCCGCCTTCTCGGTGCCCCGCCTCTTACCCGTCCCACCGCCCCGCCCACACACCTCTGTGGTGGTTCAGGAGCTGCCACACACATGGTGTCAGCGAGGCGGTCAGCCCGCCGGCTATTATAACTCTCACTGTATTTCCCATTTCTCTGTATTGTCTTCCAGGAGCAAGACGTCCCCCAGGACGCCCGGACGTCCCAAAATTGGTGCATCTAATTATAATTATTAATTAAATGCGTCAATTTTACGTATGGGTTGAATACATAGCCTCAAATCCGTTCTCAGTGCGACCTGGGTTAAATAATTCCCAAATATATAACTATGGTGGTGCCAAAGACGCTCGGTTTTTCGAAAAGATGATACAAACGCTACGGTCTCGTATGCATGCGTGGGGTTGTCTGGCATGAGGATTGATTGAACCATGCAAGAGGTTGCACGGGCATGAGTAGCCCGTAAGTGGTATGTATATTTGGAGTGAATGAGAGGGTTACGGGCTCACTACAGCCCGTGCTACATGGATATTTCGTTCTGAGTAGCTAAATCTAAAACAACTTTATATATCAAGATATCTCTGGTCCAGAAATTACAATGGAATCTTTTGTTTTAATTTTTAAAATTTTGCCTCGAGGGGGGAGTTTATTGGGCAGCGCCACTCATCTTGTGAGTGGACATACCGCCATAGCAGCATGTACAACACTCCCCAAAAGGAAGAAAACCCGCTGGGTTGTTCATCCTGTCATGGAATCTTTTATGGCAAGACATCACCAGTTTCAAAATATTTAGAGAACTTGTATGACAATATTTAACGGGTCCGGAGATGTCAAAATAAAATATTTTGTCAATAAAATGGCGCTATAACTGTAGTCGCTTTCAAACCGTCGACAGCAACGCTAGGCGAGGTGGTCGAGTATAAACAATGTAGTAGTTAGAGGCATTGTTAATAAAAATTACATTTTCAGTTATCCAACAAATGTAACGTTTTTCAAAGCGTGTTAGTATGGGTAGTCGCCAGGAGGTTTTCCCGCCATTCAGTTTTAAACCCGAAGGAGGTTTTCCCGCCATTCGGTTTTAAACCCGAAGGAGGTTTTCCCGCCATTCAGTTTTAAACCCGAAGGAGGTTTTCCCGCCATTCAGTTTTAAACTCGAACGAGGTTTTCCCGCCATTCAGTTTTAAACCCGACGGAGGATTTCCCGCCATTCAGTTTTAAACCCGAAGGAGGATTTCCCGCCATTCAGTTTTAAACCCGAAGGAGGTTTTCCCGCCATTGGCGCATGGGCCGGCGTACGTGGTGGGCAAGGCGGCGGTACGAGAGCTGAAGTATGCACCTAACGTCTCCTTCCTCAAGTACAAAGACGTGTACATCACAGGAATCGTCGCACACGCCGCTAGTGGGGTCACCCACGTCAATACCAACCTCGCTATCAACACCTTCGTCGCCAAAGACAACTTCTTTAATGGAACTCAAGCCTTCCTCGTGGAGACCACCGACAAGATCACGGAAAATGCATGGAAGCGTAGTGCCGTATGCCCCCCATATCTAGATGAGCTAGTGGGACACTGGCCAGTAAGCCCTTATACTCAACATACACACTCCAAACATTAACTTATACTCAACATACACTCCAAACATTAACCTGTATTCACCATACACACTCCAAACATTAACCTGTACTCAACATACACTCCAAACATTAACCTGTATTCAACATACACACTCCAAACATTAACCTGTATTCAACATACACACTCCAAACATTAACCTGTATTCAACATACACACTCCAAACATTAACCTGTATTCAACATACACTCCAAACATTAACCTGTATTCAACATACACACTCCAAACATTAACCTGTACTCAACATACACTCCAAACATTAACCTGTATTCAACATACACACTCCAAACATTAACCTGTATTCAACATACACACTCCAAACATTAACCTGTATTCAACATACACACTCCAAACATTAACCTGTATTCAACATACACACTCCAAACATTAACCTGTATTCAACATACACACTCCAAACATTAACCTGTATTCAACATACACACTCCAAACATTAACCTGTATTCAACATACACACTCCAAACATTAACCTGTATTCAACATACACTCCAAACATTAACCTGTATTCAACATACACACTCCAAACATTAATTCTGTACTCAACATACACCAAACATTAACCTGTACTCAACATACACCAAACATTAACCTGCGCTCCACATACACACTCCAAACATTCCCTTGTGGTCTTTACAAAACTTTACTCAACAATATTTACAAATTATTTCTAGATAGATACAATAAAATCTATCAACATAACACCAGCAATATTTGTCCTTCACATTCCCAGTCTTATTCAATCTAAGAAAACATGCCAGGAATATAAAAAAAAGGATTCGAAATGTAACAGCATTGAATGTGTTCAAGTGCAATCTTAAGGACAGTATAGTTACATCATTATGATTATGTATGTACCTATCTATGTTAATTATTACATATTAAATAATTATAACATATTAAATAATTATTACATATTAAATTACATATTAATAATTTTACCTAATTATTACATATTAAATCCCTAATTATTTAATATCATGATTATCTTAATTATCTATTTAATGACCTGGGACCAGATTCATGAAGCAGTTACGCAAGCACTTACGAACGTGTACATCTTTCCTCAATCTTTGACGGCTTTGGTTACATTTATTAAACAGTTTACAAGCATGAAAACTTTCCAATCAACTGTTGTTGATTGTTATAAACAGCCTCCTGGTGCTTCGGAGCTCATTAACTATTTAATAATTGTAAACAAAGCCGCCAAAAATTGAGAAAAGATGGACAGGTTCGTAAGTACTTGCGTAACTGCTTCGTGAATCTGACTCCTGGGGCCAGATTCACGAAAGCACTTACGCAAACACTTACGAACCTGTACATCTTTTCTCAATCTTTGGCGGCTTTGTTTCCAATTATTAAACAGTTAATGAGCTCCGAAGCACCAGGAGGCTGTTTATAACAATAACAACAGTTGAATGGCAAGTTTTCATACTTGTAAACTGTTTAATAAATGTAAACAAAGCCGTCAAAGATTGAGGAAAGATGTACACGTTCGTAAGTGCTTGCGTAAGTGCTTTCGTGAATCTGCCCCCTGTTACCCAAGCCCAGTTTCTGAGAATTTTCCTGTTACCCAGTTTCATGAGAATTTTCACAAACAAATCATTTAGGCAATGCGTATCATCTAATTTAAATAGTAGGCCTAAAATGTAACAAATATAAGCCCCTTGGAACTGCGTAAAAACGGTACCAAAATACTGTATGGCAACACTTTTTTTTACTAATATTTTCTACCACAGACATTAATGCATCGTTCAATGCAAAATATTTTGAAATACCACAGACGTGGCCACACATTTACAATGCTAACCAGCACTGTTATATTATACTCAGATTAGCATTAAGACTTGTCAGGTAAAACAGTACGCATTCAGACTCGCCAAATGTATACTAAATTATTGTTGACTTAATATATTCGCCAACTGCAATGTATGTATATGCCAACTGTAATATACATTATGATATAATGATATAACAAATAAGTAAAAATATAGGATAATTAATAGTAATAAGGAATGTGGGACAATAGTTTGTGAGATTTTTTATTGGTGTAAACAAAAATAAATAATTGGCTTGGTGAGGCTATCAACCTCTGGAGGGTTATTAAGGCCACAACAATACTTTACTGACCACCTAGCAAGTTTGGTGTTGGATTTTTTTTATTTATTTTTTTTATTTATTTATATATACAAGAGTTCTTACAATTTTGTACAGCCACTAGCATGCACAGCATTTCGGGCAGGTCCTTAATCCTATGTTCCCTGGAATACGATCCGCCAAATCGATTAACAACCAGGAACCCATTTTACTGTTGGGTAAACAGAGGCTACAGTTAAGGATTGGCACTCAGTCTAATCCTCCCCGGCCAGGATAGAACCCAAACCAAAGCGCTCGCGAAGCGTCGGCCGGGTGTTTTACCACTGTGCTACGGGGACTGTTCCTCGGTCCCCCAGGCGTGGGTCAGTTCCTCGGTCCCCCAGGCGTGGGTCAGTTCCTCGGTCCCCCAGGCGTGGGTCAGTTCCTCGGTCTCTCAGGCGTGGGTCAGTTCCTTGGTCCTCCAGGCGTGGGTCAGTTCCTCTGTCCCCCAGGCGTGGGTCAATTCCTCTGTCCCCCAGGCGTGGGTCAATTCCTCTGTCCCCCAGGCGTGGGTCAGTTCCTCTGTCCCTCAGGCGTGGGTCAATTCCTCTGTCCCCCAGGCGTGGGTCAGTTCCTCTGTCCCCCAGGCGTGGGTCAATTCCTCTGTTCCCCAGGCGTGGGTCAGTTCCTCGGTCCCCCAGGCGTGGTTCCAGTACCTGGGCAAACTACATTACTTTCTCTTGCGACGATTCTTCAGTCCCGCGTATTTTAAGATTCCCGCCCAGGCGACCGCCTTGTTCTTCTCACTCGCGCCTATGTAGAACGCGACTTTTCCCCCGTACAGCTTCCGCGTGGGCTTCTTCGTGTAGAGCTCCCTGCCGATGTTCACATGTCTGATTCCTGCGGCGCGAGCGACGAGCCCCGTGATATACACGTCCTCCAACCAGAGGAAGGGCGTGTGGGCGACATACGCCAGTAGTCGCTCCACGGCGTTGCGGCCCACGATGTACGCGGGACCGAACACAAAGGGCGGGAAGAATTTGTCCGGGTACTCCTCCTGTTGGGTAAAGGGGAGGACGTGGGATAACTCTTGTAAAAAATAGTATGGGACGCGGATGATAAAACTCTTGTGAGTGCTGATGGTATATATTTGTTAAATATATATCAGTGATGCAGATAATGAGTTACATTAACGTGGCTGAAGATATGATGAGCAAACTAGGCTCTCTTCACCAGAAGATGAAGAGAAGACGACGTTTCGGTCCATCCTGGACAATAATCAAGTCGCTTGTGATAATGGTCGACAATCGATTTGATGATGGTCCAAGGACGGACCGAAACGTCGTCGTCTCTTACTTTTCTGATGTGTGGTTTGGTCATTATATATCAGAGGTTCCTTGCTTGATCGGTGGTGATAGTGCTACAGGTGCCGGGAAGTGACTAGACCCAGTACAGCACACTGGTATAACATTCACCTGGGCTCTAGGAGACTCGAACCGTGGACCCCATGAGTGTCAGGCCGAAGCTCTATCGATCGAGCTATTGAGTAGTCTTAATAAGGACATTAGGTTATGATAGATTAGGTTAGGTTACGTTAGGTAAGGCTATGCTAGGCTAGGTTAGATTAGGTTAGGCTACATTAGGTTAGCCTAGGTTAAGTTAGGTTAGCCTAGGTTAAGTTAGGTTAGCCTAGGTTAAGTTAGGTTAGCCTAGGTTAAGTTAGGTTAGGCTAGATTAGCTTGTGCTAGTAAGAACATAAGAATGAAGGTAACTGCAGAGGGCCTATTGGCCCTTACGAGACAGCTCCTATGTATATCCACCCAATCTCATTCATATATATATATATACATATAGCTAACCTACACTTGAACCAATCAAGGAATCCTACTTCTAAGTAGGTGAGGTTAGGCTAAGTTAGGTAAGGTTAGGCTAGGCTAGGTTAGGTTAAGTTAGGTTGTATTAAATAACAACAAAGACGAAAGGGAAGCAAAAGTTACTCTCAGGTTTGACTGCCTACTCCACCAATCAGGTCCTACCTCAGTCACGGCCCATTTGCCGTTCCTGTGAGACGGGGCTCTTCTAGAGAGGCGGCCGTGGATCTTGGAGGGCGCCGAGTCCCTGGAGATCTGTAGCCTTAGGTACTGGAGGAGGTGGAAGGGGTTCACCACAACGTCGTCGTCGATCTTGGCCACAAAGGGCGTCTCGGGGCACCAGTCCCTCACCCATGACAACCACGAGATGGTCTTGTAGGTCAGGTTCCTGCAACACGAGGACCTGGTTGGTTACTGCTGGTGGTGTGGGCGTGAGGGAGAGACTCCTGGATACCTAGTTACTGCTAGGTAAACAGAGGCATCCGGCGAAAGAAAAATATTCCCAAATCTCTCTCCCCCCCCCTCTGCGAGGGAATCGAACCCGGGAGCATTCAGTGTACGTGTGGCAGTGTCAGTGTACCTGTAGTACTGAGTATATATTTACTATTTTTATTTACTCTGTGCCTGCAGAATCGAGCTATTACCTAATGGTCGGTTATCAAATGTATTGACTCCTGATCTCTTTCCCTCTCTTCTTGAGGTATCTTGATCTCCATCTCCATCATATCTACTGCACTTACTACAATGTGTGTGTGTGTGTGTGTATTCACCTAGTTGTGCTTGCGGGGGTTGAGCTCTGCTCTTTCAGCCCGCCTCTCAACTGTCAATCAACTGTTTCTAACTACTACTACTTTTTTGTGTTGTTTTTTCCCATACTACACACACACCCCAGGAAGCAGCCCGTGACAGCTGACTAACTCCCAGGTACCTATTTACTGCTAGGTAACAGGGGCATAGGGTGAAAGAAACTCTGCCCATTGTTTCTCGCAGGCGCCCGGAATAGAACCCGGGACCACAGGATCACGTGTCCAGCGTGCTGTCCGCTCGGCCACCGGCCACTGTGTGTGTGTGTGAGAGAAAGAGAGAGAGAAAGAGCACGCGCGTGCGCATCAGTATACATAAAGCAGCGGGTGATAGCAGTGCACATATTACAGATATATGAGAGGCATATATACCTGTAAGAGTCGACGAAGGTGTTCTGGATGATGTCGTGGTGGAGGTCCATCTCTTGGTAGATCAGCTCCTGTAGGGTGTTGTTGCTCGTGGCTCCCAGCACGAACACTGTCCTGTAAGGCCAGGGGGTCATGCTTACATGTGTATCATTGTAACACTCTCTGTCTGTCTCTCTCTCACACACACACTCTCTCTCTCTCTCTCTCTCTCTCTCTCTCTCTCTCTCTCTCTCTCTCTCTCTCTCTCTCTCTCTCTCTCTCTCTCTCTCTCTCTCTCTCTCTCTGTCTCTCTCTGTCTCTCTCTGTGTCTCTCTGTGTCTCTCTGCCTCTCTCTCTCTCTGTCTCTCTCTCTCTCTCTCTCTCTCTCTCTCTCTCTCTCTCTCTCTCTCTCTCTCTCTCTCTCTCTGTCTCTCAGGAGGACTGACCTGATCCAGGTGTAGGGATAGAGGTGAGGGCTGGCCCAGGTGGTGCGGATAGTTTGTCTCTCCTGGAAGTGGTGGAGGGCTGAGGGCACCACCACCAGGATGAAGGGCGAGCTGTCGTTACACAAGGGCTCCTGCGACAGGTCCTCCTCCCACCCCACCTCATCTGGGATCGTGTTCACTGGAGTACCCGTCAAGTTGATGACGTCTCTCACTCTGTCGAACCTGTCACGTGTCCGTGGTTACCAAGGGGAACAGGCTAAATTATTAAGATCATTACCAAGAATGCCATTATCAAGATCATTAGAATTGTAAATAGTTGACCCTTTCTTCTCCCAGCGCCTCACTCCATGCAGTTGGAACTTGACTGAGATATTGACAAGATTGTAACCTTTGGTTAAATTGTCAGAATCTCTATAGCAAATTGTCTGTGTTTACCTAGTCATAAAAGTACTTGTGTGTATATCTGGTAACATACTGCATGTGTAAAGGAAGAAATGTATATGTTTATCACTCAGAATGTTCCGTAATAAGCTTATTGTCGGGAAATACTTATTAATAAACTACACAAATTTGTATGAATAGGCTTCGCAAGTTTTGCCTCGCTTGTCTCCACTATATCTGTATTGAACTGTAATCAGTGAAACTTTGGATGACATCTCTATGTGACTTATGGAAGGTCATAGGCAATATAGGGGTTCCAGCTCCTGGGCCCTGTCTTTACACATGACTGATTTGATAAACTACGAAACTTTTCTTGCCAAGTGCTTCACAATAATAATAATAATTATTATTATTAGTATTGTTTATTTATAATAAATACAGGGGATTATAGATTACAGTGATTAGTTAGTACTCATCCGCTCACAGGATTTTTTATTATTATTATTTTCTACCACAGACGTGGCCACACATTTACAATGCTAACCAGCATATATACATTTTCTTCTGTCCTCCATGGACAGGGTGAAAGATTTGTCAAACATACAGTTCAGAGATTTATTGAACAACCACAGAAGGTGATCGTAGTGCTTTTAAAATGAGTGGAGTGCACAATACACCATCCACCGTTCGTGGCAACAATGAATAAAACCCTAAAACGCAGATATAAGAACATAAGAACAAAGGTAACTGCAGAAGGCCTGTTGGCCCATACGAGGCAGCTCCTATCCAGGGTTGCCAGATCTCAATTGCTGAAAGTAGCGAGCTGACGGTCTAAAAGTAGCGAATTTGTAATAAGAGTAGCCCAATTTTTTTTTAGTGAATATGGGTTTCAAAGTAATATATTTTGATATATAGAGCACACTACACGATGTTAATTGTTTTATTAATACTATTTTTGCACATACACACACACACACACACATATATATATATATATATATATATATATATATATATATATATATATATATATATATATATATATATATATATATATATTTTTTTTTTTTTTTTTTTTTTTTTTTTTTTTGCCGCCGGAGGTGGATAGTTCATTAAGCATCCCCTATTCAACCAGTGAGTGATAGTTTGTTGAAATAAGTTTATTGAGGTAAAATACACACAAAGGGATGAGGTAGCTCAAGCTATTCTCACCCCGTTGATAGTTTGTTGTGCACCCCAAACCCCGACCAGTAGTGTAACTGCCAGCCTAGCATGAACGGACCTAGCAACCCCCCTTACCTGGGGTTTACATTTCGTATTATGTGATTTTTGGCAACTGTTGCCATTTTTTAATTAATGCATTTAACTGAGATCAAGACAAATATATATTTCCAAATTAAATGTAAATTTCTTTAGTTTAAAAGAATATAAATCTATATAAAATGTAAAAGAATATATATATATATATATATATATATATATATATATATATATATATATATATATATATATATATATATATATATATATATATATATATATATGTCGTACCTAGTAGCCAGAACGCACTTCTCAGCCTACTATGCAAGGCCCGATTTGCCTAATAAGCCAAGTTTTCCTGAATTAATATATTTTCTCTAATTTTTTTCTTATGAAATGATAAAGCTACCCAATTCATTATGTATGAGGTCAATTTTTTTTTATTTGAGTTAAAATTAACGTAGATATATTATCGAACCTAACCAACCCTACCTAACCTATCTTTATAGGTTAGGTTAGGTTAGGTAGCCGAAAAAGTTAGGTTAGGTTAGGTTAGGTAGGTTAGGTAGTCGAAAAAACATTAATTCATGAAAACTTGGCTTATTAGGCAAATCGGGCCTTGCATAGTAGGCTGAGAAGTGCGTTCTGGCTACTAGGTACGATATATATATATATATATATATATATATATATATATATATATATATATATATATATATATATATATACGAACCCTTTCTTATATACATATGCGCTAGCTTGTGTTCAAGTTCTTGAACTTGGCAGCACCCACTCTTTAATTTGGCACCTTTGTGGCACCTTGGTATAAGCCTAACATGTATATATACACTGACTGCCTGTCCCCCTACACAATGATTTATTATTACCTATTATTTTTATCATTTAATTTAAATATTAAATAAAATAACTCATTTAATTATTATAGTAAGTACTTAATAATTTAATAATAAGTGGTAAGTACATACAAATTATTAAACAGTACAGTTTAGTCATAGGAGATTCCTAGATTGGAATTCACTACCAAATTTCGATATATCCAAGTATTTTTAGTGTGAAATGCTGTTATTATAGGCATAAAATAGTTGTTTTAATAATATTATGCTTAACCACTTGGGCTGGACGGTAGAGCGACGGTCTCGTTTCCTACAGGTCCGCGTTCAATCCCAGACCTCCCAAGAGGTTGGGCACCATTCCTTTCCCCCCGTTCCATCCCAAATCCGTATCCTGACCCCTTCCGAGTGCTATATAGTCGTAATGGCTGGGCGCTTTCACTTGATAGTTCCCCCAGCCCCCTGAATAATATTATGAGAGCAGTATTTACGGGCTATTCATGCTCGTGTCACCTCTTGGGTGGCTTAATCTTCATCAATCGAGAGCAGTACGTCCTAACCAGACATTATATGATGATATCCTCAACAGTTGATAAATAAAAGTAATTGCGGAACTCCAGTTATCTAATACTTATCATAAATGGTATAAAACCTTATCATAAGCCAAGGGATTTGTAGATCAGTGTTTCTTCTTCTTGAGAATAGGTGCAGTTTGCACGAAGGGTTGATCAGTGTTTACAAAGGAATTCGGAAGTAATAATAACACAGCTGATGCCATCTGTCGGCACAAAAGGACACTATCAACTGGCTGGTCAACAGTGGCCATAAGATACAGCTTACGCCATCTGTTGACATCAAATTACACTTATAACAAATTACCCCACAAAATACTACTAACGCCATCTCTGTTTTTTCCAACGCACTATAAATAGCCAAACAGCAACCCATAAGGCGGGTTGTTGTGCTCGGGTAGGAGGTTCCAAGCTCCGCCCACAGGTGGTATGGAGTGTATAATAAATGGCATATCATTGGTAGATATTCTTTGTTGACATTCACACAACAGCCAATCACAGGCAGGGATCAGCTAAAGGCTCCATCCACTTAATAAATCATCTTTATTCAGGACACCATCCTTGCTTAAGACATTCTGCTTCAACTTTAATCTATCTAAAAAGTGAAATGTTAAGTATTTAAAAGTATTAATATAGTGATAATTAAATACTGCAGGACGTAACAGGTGTTACAGAAACACGGGCTATAGGCTACCTAACTTGTGACGTCATCAGTGGGTGTTGCCTCACACAAATAATATCGGCGATACAATATGCCTCCGCCCTCTTATTGGTCTACATTATTCAGTTAGATGGAAATTTCTGTCTTGTATAAAACAGAAATTGTTGTTCTTTTGTACAACAATAAGGTTATTGAGCAAAAGGACGTATTTCTTATTTTGCATTTTATTCATATAAGCGTTGGCATTCCCCGCAACAGCCAATCACAGGAAGGTATTTGTTGGAAACTCTGCCTTCAACAAACTTGATTCCTAATGAACTCTAACAATAAATTCGTTTAATAAACGAGTATTTAGGGTCAAGCTACAGATGAACATTATAGGATAACGGTGTTTTAGCTTGCAGCTTCGTTAGACAGAATCCCTGGTCTTAATTTTAAAAAATAAAGAACTAGAAAGCGTATTTTATTGCTAACTTTACGAGAAATAAATCCCAGCCTAGAAACTCTTTGTTGACATTCACACAACAGCCAATCACAGGAAGGGATCAGCTATAGGTGCCATCCACTTAGTAAATCATCTTAGTTCAGCCCACCAGTCCTGCTTATGGAATTCTGCTTTAACTTTAATTTACCCAAAAAAGTGGTGTTAATTATTTAAAGTGTTAATAAAGTGATAATTAAATATTGCAGGATATAACAGATGTTATATAAAAATGGGCTGCATGGCTACCTAACTTGGGACGTTATTATTGGGGGTTGCCTTGACAGACACAAATAATGATACGCTGCTCTGCCCTCTTATTCGAGTAAATTATTCAGTTAGATGGAGATTTCTGTCAGGTGCAAAACAGAAATTGTTGTTCTTTTTCACAACAACCTTGTTGTTGTGCACAAGGACCTATTTCTTAGTTTGAATTTGATTCATAAAGGAGTGTTGGTATTCCCCGCAACAGCCAATCACAGGAAGGTATCTCTGGAAGCTCAGCCTCCTTATGGACTCAGCACATCGCTCTAGCTCATGGCTCGCTGTTTCATCTCTTGTATATACAAACTATGACTTTTTCCATTACTGTTATAATTAATAATATGAGATATAAAAGTTTTTACACAAAATGGCTAAATTCTGCCATTAAATAGACTTTGTCTTGTATACTTACAAACATACACCAATGGCTAAATTCATCCATTACCATTGAATGGCTACCATTCATCCATTATTAATTTCAAATGTAATGTATACTGTCTAGTTTTTTCCTCTCGCCATTACTTGGTGCAATATTTGAAAGTTGTTTATTTATTTATCGATCTATCTATTATCTTGTATTTATATTTACAAGTTTCTGTGCTTGGAAGAAAACTCTGCATTGAATTGGGACTAATTTATTAAATAATATTATTTAGTATTAATTAATATTTACAATTATTATTAATTACAATTATTTATAGCCTAGTTACTTTCATGTAACTCGCAATCGTACAGTCTTAACATTAATAGCCCAAATTAGCACATCTTGCTTTTAAATTAGCCCAAAAAGTAGCAAGTGGCGAAATAAAAAAAATTGGGAGCGCGGGGCTCTCAAAAGTAGCCCAATTCGCTATTTGTAGCCCAATCTGGCAACACTGCTACTATCTATAACCACCCCAAATATACCTAAATGTGTTAATAAAAAATACACATAATCCTTAATTATTCAGAGTTAGTTGCCCATATAGTACAACGTGAGCCTGATTCTTACATATTGCCTTACATAAAGCAATACTTTGTATTATTGTTACAGTTCGTACAACAACATCAGCAGTAACTGTAATACAGGCGATGACGCCCCCCCTCCCCCTGATAACACGATAAAAGTGCTATCAGTGACAGCTGTAACTTATTCTGTCATTCCCAGTCAACTTTTAAAATGTTAGGCTAAGCTACGTACGTAAATCCATAGATGCACTACGATCACCTTCTGTGGTTGTTCAATAAATCTCTGAACTGTGTTTGACAAATCTTTCACCCTGTCCATGGAGGACAGAAGAAAATGTATATATGCTAGTTAGCATTGTAAATGTGTGGCCACGTCTGTGGTAGAAAATAATAATAATAAAAAAATTCCCAGTCAACTAAAGGGTGGATACAGTGACTCTTTTCACCGGAATGTTATACATGGCTCTTTAATATTACTAGTTTTGCTATTAATGAAACTATAATATCTAAAATTGTAAATCATTTAAAGAAAAATAAGTATAACATTTAGGGGTTTTAAAGTTCATGCTCTGTGATAATATCAAACACTTGTTTACTGAGAATTGTACTACTGTATATGTAATGTAGTATTGCCTTGTAAAATTTATGAATATATGATTTATATTGTATTTTATTAAATAAAGATAAAAAAATCGCTTCCCTGCCTTACAAACCATTCGTGCCTGGATAATTTCAAACCATTTTATGATTTCTAATTAAAAAAAAAAGTCGAAAAGCTCATCCATCAAGAGACAGATGTTATAGGAGTTATACCGTTGACTGTAGCAAACTATAGTTTTAGAGCGATGACTAGAATTTGATCAAGGAGCTCAACATAACAACATTGCTGTAACTTAGAAGATTTTTATTATGTCTTGTTTACACTACAAAATGAGTTTTCTGAATTAACCAATTGAGTTCAGCTTTGTAACTGCTTGTACTGTTATAATGCGTATTTTTCGTAAGAGTGAAAGGTCTCTTACATATACAGTACAGTTGCTTATTGAATACTCAATCAAAGAATGTGATTAATGTGCGTTTACAAAGGTGAAATGCAATTCTAACCAGCCTTCACATATACACATATATATTTACGCCTACCTTACTTTGAGAGGGTAAATTAGCTGCTATAGAAAGTACTAAATAGTGTGTTATTAATTTAAACACTCACTCCACAGAAGGTGATTAAGTTGCTTTTAAAAGCTCAAGTTGTGCTCGGAGATCGTCTGTGAGAGTAAGGTGGGCTAGCCTAGGCATCTTAATGCAAATTAAAGCATTAATTTCAGTGATACGATGACTTATACATGGGATATTGAGTTCCTTCCGAGGATGAATCGCATGCCTTAGTTTTGTGTCTTTTCCAACACTACAAGTATTATATTGGGCATAAGGACATCATAATAAACTAAAGATGACATGAAAAGTACGTTTTTTGTTTGTAATCCTCTAATTTACGCCACAGCTGGTGTGATAGCCTGCTACAGCTTTGAGCTTTTCTTTACACTGCTGACCCAGTATGAGGATAGAAATCCTTTTGATATGTATTTTATTGTCTCAATAAACGTTCTTGACCTTTATGTTACTTTATTATTTTCTGCTATTCTGTTTAGGCATATTTTCTGGCCATAGATGAAAGCAAAACACTATAGGTACTATAGCTTGTGTGCTGTGCTGTCAAATCTCTCCCCCCATATCGTGGAGGTGGGTAAGGCCTACGAGTCTCAATACAGATTGTCCACGACAATAGGAATAAACGTACCTGTAGGCGAACGTGGCGGGAGTAAGAGGACGCGGGATGGAAGGTAGGGTGACGCAGAGGAAGGCCACGAAGAGGCCTGTGCACACACACATGCCGACCAGCAGACGGAACACCATCACTCTGGCTGTGGACACAACATCACACTATCAACAGACGGAACACCATCACTCTGGCTGTGGACACAACATCACACTATCAACAGACGGAACACCATCACTCTGGCTGTGGACACAACATCACACTATCAGCAGACGGAACACCATCACTCTGGCTGTGGACACAACATCACACTATCAACAGACGGAACACCATCACTCTGGCTGTGGACACAACATCACACTATCAACAGACGGAACACCATCACTCTGGCTGTTCACACATCAGCAGACGGAACAACCCGTCCTCAACCAATACGTCTCATTTTCTACGTTATGGTCCCCAAGCGTACAAATTAATATGAACAAATCCATTTTCCATGCATCGGTAGCTTAGGTCAGGTGGGCTGCTTGGGTTTGTACGTTAATAGTCAGGTTAGGACTTTGTATTTTGTACGTTGTGGCAAATACAGAGAACGAGCTGGAACAACATCATTCTGGTAAACAATCAAGTTTATTATGCCAAGGCAGCGTGAGATTGTGTCGTTCAATCCATGAGACTATTCTTACTAATGCTAGGCTGCTTATCATCAAGGCAAATGGAGGGGGGACCTTCGACAAGCCGCCGACTTCCTGTCCTCGTCTACGGGCTCTCTTACGTTTCACTACGGGCTCACCATAGCCCGTGCTACTTGGAACCTCGTTCCAGGTAGCGAATCTTTAACAACAAAGGCAGGAAGACTACTCTGTGGATCAGACCCTACGCTTTTTACAGGTCAAAATCGGGTTTATTGTATGGAGCCTACATTTGGTGAACAAATCCTCTTAACAAATGTTAAGAGTATTTTTTATATTTATCCATGCAAGTATTTCCCCCCTATGGGTACCTTTTTTCATGTATTGTTTTTGTTACTATATGGGTACTTTGAAAGCCGGTTGGCGAGGTTCCATGTGTAAACACTGATGCATAGATTTATTGTATGCAATTACTGTATGTAATTATTGTTTGAGGTTTGTTGTGCTAGGATTTTTGTCGGCTGTCGGTGAGGATATGTCTTGCTTTATTGCTTTATTATATTGTATTTAAAAAAAAATAAAAAATAGCCAAAGTTAACTCATTATTATATCATTTGTATTTGGTCTTAAAGAGGTAATTGATTGTCACCTTCAAGTGTCCTTTAATAGCTTAAGGCCAGCAATATACCAAGAACTACAACAAAATTTTAGGGACCCGAGGGAAAGTGAGATTTACATTAGTTATTCTATCATAATAATTATTATTATTATCATTGTCATACTGTGCAGGAAGAATCATATATCTGAAGAAAGGGAAGGGAATTATCGGAAGGGAAAGCGCCGAGCCATTACGACTATATAGCACTTGGAAGGGGTCAGGATAAGGATTTGGGATGGGACGAGGGAAAAGAAATGGTGCCCAATCACTTGGACGGTTGGGGATTGAACGCCGACCTGCATGAAGCGAGACCATCACTCTACCGTCCAGCCCAAGTGGTTATATTTAACTCATCTAGTAAAATCAGAAGATTTCTAAATGTTACTACTGCTAAAGTTGCTAGGCTTATGCTTGTCTACAAGTACTATCTGAAGTAGATCTGACCTAATGTAAACTTTGTCAGCAAACTAGTCATATACCTTACGTCACTATGTAATTAAACGTGAACAAAAATCTAGAGATTAGAGATAACTATCGCTGATAGGCAATGACTGTCCATGTATTTTCTGATATGATATATTTACCAAAATCCTAGCCGTGTATCCCAAGTTTACCTAACGTAGATACTGTATACAATGCAAGCTCGCAGTGTTTGCAAGCTTCCTACTTATTTATCTCACGACCAAGAACCACACCGTTAGCTACAGTAAAGTAATTAGATCACTACCCTTGTAACTATCACAAAATTTAGACAATGAAACCAATAATACTTATACGACAAATCCCATGTAAAAAACTTAAAATGTAAATACAATAGGCCACCCGACGATTCATGCTGAAGAAGCTGGAGCCCAGTACCGGGAAGCTATGATTAGCGTATGGACACGCACGTTGTTTGTTGTTATAGATTCAGCTACTCGGAACAAGTTCCAAGTAGCACGGGCTATGGTGAGCCCGTAGCTTACCAGGCTTGGAGGCCCGTCGACTAGGCTTGGAGGCCTGGTCGACGACCGGGCCGCGGGGTCGCTGAGCCCCGAATCACCTCAAGGTAAGGTACCTGGCACAGGAGCGGGGCAAGTAGCACGGGCTATGGTGAGCCCGTAGTGGACATACCTGGCACAGGAGCGGGGCAAGTAGCACGGGCTATGGTGAGCCCGTAGTGGACTTACCTGGCACAGGAGCGGGGCAAGTAGCACGGGCTATGGTGAGCCCGTAGTGGACATACCTGGCACAGGAGCGGGGCAAGTAGCACGGGCTATGGTGAGCCCGTAGTGGACATACCTGGCACAGGAGCGGGGCAAGTAGCACGGGCTATGGTGAGCCCGTAGTGGACATACCTGGCACAGGGGCGGTGCTGTCAAAGACACACACTCACTGGAGATTATAAAAGTCCCAGTTGTCGTGTCTCTCACGCCTATCACTCCAGCACCATAGAATATGACTGACGCAACTTCCAATAATTACAACACAATTACTGGCATTGCGTTGTTAAATATTAAATAAATAAATAAATAAATAAATGTTTATTTAGGTAAGGTACATACATAAAGAGATTTTACAAAGTTTGTTGGATTAATAGATAGAGCTAGTACATACAATGCCTAAAGCCACTATTACGCAAAGCGTTTCGGGCAGGAGAAATCTCTTTATTCACTGTCTGAAGGATCGTGTTTATTAATGTTAAATAATTATGTAATTAGTTCATCAGTGTTGTAAGTTGCTTACCTAAATGAATTTTGAGGCTCAGTTTCTTGACCTACTTAAGTGCCTCTAACTTTTTTTCAGTATCACTCACAAGGTGACCCCATGCCACAGGACGGGCATGGGGTCCACTACCGCCCACAGGACGGGTATATGGGGTTACCTACCGCCCACAGGACGGGTATATGGGGTTACCTACCGCCCACAGGACGGGTATATGGGGTTACCTACCGCCCACAGGACGGATATAGGGTCAACTACAGCCCACAGGACGGTTATAGGGTCCACTACCTACCACAGGACGGTTATAGGGTCCACCACCGTCTACAGGACGGGTAAGTGGTCCTGTAGCCAGTAGTCAGGGGGAGTGAGCACATAAAAATTGCGCCACAACACGTACCAAATAATTTAAAAACCGCTATACATTTGTATTTTGTATTTATAATCGAAACACAAGAAAGTTTTAAAAGAAGTACATACTTTTTATTTTGTATTTAAAATAAAAACAACAAAACGTTATAATGTAAGTTCATTAATCTATATTCTATTTAAAATGAAATCATAATAAAAACATTTGTGTTATTTAATTATTTTACATTTTAAACGTAAAATAAAAGCAAAACGAAGCAGTATGAAGCAGCTGCAATAGCCTCGTTCATCTAGAGTTTATTTTCGGAGCAAAGAGACGAGCTTCCTTAGCTACGCTACGCTATGGGGGTCTACCACCGCCCACAGAATGGGTATGGGGTCCACTACCACCCACAGGATGGGTATGGGGTCCACCACCGCCCACAGGATGAGTATGGGGTCCACCACCGCCCACGGGATGGGTATGAGTCCACCACCGCCCACGGAATGGGTATGGGGTCCACCACCGCCCACGGGATGGGTATGAGCCCACCACCGCCCACGGAATGGGTATGGGGTCCACCACCGCCCACAGGATGGGTATGGGGTCCACCACCGCCCACGGGACACGTCTGGGTCCACCACCGCCCACGGGACACGTCTGGGTCCACCACCGCCCACGGGACAGGTCTGGGTCCACCACCGCCCACGGGACAGGTCTGGGTCCACCACCGCCCACGGGACAGGTCTGGGTCCACCACCGTCCACGGGATGGGTAGGAATGCATAACAACTAAACTAAAGTGAAGGGTACAAGGAACAAAACATGTTAGCACTTACTGTAGCTGTTAAAGTATGGTTATGGGGAGAGAGTAAGGCTTGAGGTACCTTTATGGATGAGTGTTAGTCTACAACTGTGGAAGATAGGCTGTCCTGTTATCTGCATGCTCGCCTCTTATCTAATACCACCTTCACCAGCGCTAATGATTAATAAGAACACGACCTATTTCACTACATTTATTTAGTCTAGGTATTAATGGGCCTTAAACAAAAACTAATTTAAAAGCGGAATTTAATCAGTGGGTTCTTGATTTTCCATCTTATATGCTTAAGTTCTTTCACACGGCCCCCGGGAACGTGTGACAGAGCAGAGGCAGGCAGACGATGACCTTCGCCAATGGTCTCGAGTCGCATAACTTGCTATAAGCCTTTTATGAAACGATATCAACAAAATTAAGGGTAAAAATGATGATCTCAGCCCTCATTATACAGTCGTAACTGAAAATGAAATTGAAATAAGTTTATTGAGGTAAAATACACACAAATAGATGAGGTAGCTCAAGCTATTCTCACCCCGTTCAGTACATCGTGTTAATACATACGTATACACACATCACAAACAATAAATGTATTACCGAACATTCTGAGAGATAAACATATACATTTCACAGTCGTAATGGGTTGGCGCTTTCTCCTGATAGTTCCCTTCCCTTCTCACACCCTCTATCCCTTATACAGCGTATATGAACTAGTCGTAGTTGAGGCTACCACCTCTAATTTTAATAGGCTTTCAAACTAAATATTATATATGACGATAGAGAAGGGTTCCTTGATTTCATGATCCGTAAGATGACTATAACATGCTCTTCACTGAATTAAATGAGCAACTAAACTAACTAACAGCCCTCCATAAAGGATTACTTGTGTAAAGGCCTCTGAGGAACCCGAACAAATTACTAGATCACCTATTACATATAAAAGTCTATTTAAAATTATCCTTTCCGTCATTTTACAAAAACACGAGGTTAAAGACACTCTGTAATCTCCATTGGCTTTAGGGAAAGGGATGATCATAGCTTTTTTCCATTTACTGGGAATACTTGCCTCTTTATAACTAATATTAAAGAGGTATAACAGTGGGCTTTTCTTCATAAGGGCAAGCTCATTAAGTATTTCATAAGTCACTCCATCCTCACCAGGGGCGGTAGATTTCCCAAGTTTAATCATTAGTTCATCTTTGGTAATACCTGTGCAAGTGACATCACCACTGTTACCTGCTGTAAGTATAAAGTCCTTTCTTAGATCTTTCCAAGAATCTAATGACTCTCGTTATAGCGGGCAATGAACTAAGTTTGGTAGCTTCCGCCCATTTATCTACGAGACCATTTGCAATTCCTTGCGGGTCAGGATGTGCAACAAAATTATGCTTTTTTATCCCTTACTTTATTTACGTCTTGCCAGATTTCCTTCAAGTTTCTGTTACTCCCAACTTTCTCTGCAAACTCCTGCCAATACTTGCTTCTAATTTCCTTTCTCTTCTCCCCACGCAGCCTAGCAACTGCCAATAAAGCATTCTTCCCTTCCTCAGTCCTACCATTCCTATTTCAATTCCTCTGAGCTCTCCTCATTGTTAATGTCCACCCCTTAAGCATCTTGTCATGTGTATACTTTTCTTTTCTGGGGAGATGCTTTTTTTTATACTAGATGTTCTTCTGTTCAATGTCGCATTAAATTCATCTACCTTCTTAATTAGATCTTCATAAAATGTTTCTGCCGAAACTGGCTTATAAGTATCATACCAAGACTTAATATGGCCAACAAGACCCCTTAATTCTCCCTCACTAAACCCTAACTTTTTCCTCTGAAGGCAGGCATTCTTTTTATCTAGTTTAAGCTGTATTTGTAATGCAAAATGATCACTTAGCATTTCATCCACAGTTTAGTTTAGTTCATTTATTATGCACCCCATACCTATCTTGTGGGAGGAAGGGGCCTGTATTATGGCAACGAAAGTCTATTATCCTAAGTCTGGATAAATTCAGACAGGTAAATTTAGGTTTGGGATTGGTGGGGTCCAATGTGTAGGCCACACTGATGATGGTCTGGCCTTGGGGGGATAGGTAATGGGGGATGGGTGTTTATGTATTTTTTGGGGGGGGGGGACTCACAGGCGTCGGGGGGGTTGGCTAAACTGGTGATACGCTGGCGTCAGGGATGTGGGAAGGTTGGCCACACTGGTGGTGGTAAACAACAATAATCCTCGGTGCAGAGCAGCTCCTTCACCAGACCAGCGAATAATGAGGTAATTACTACCCTATGTCGCCCTTTGGTGACGTGGTGACACGAGAGTAGTGTGTTAGTAGGGTAAACTGGCGCCCCCCACACACACCCGCCGCAGCTCTCCCAGCAGCTAAGGAGAGGAAGAAACTTCCTTGCACGTCGTGTACAAAGATTTCAGGTCAAGTCGCCCCTCTTAAACTCAAAAATTCAAACGTTTATTCAGGTAAAAGTACAAACATAGATGAATTACAAACATAATGTTGGATTTATAGATAGAGCTAGTACATACAATACCTAAAGCCGCTAATACGCATAGCATTTCGGGTAACTCGCCGAACGTGAATTTTGTTTTAAGTTTTTGAGAAGATGCTTGTTAAGTTTATCAAGGTCCCCTTAGTCAATGACCAGTCAACTCCAAAGATGTAACCTACGCCAGTTAACTCGGGTGCAGATTTTACTTAGATAAGATAATTCAAGTAAAATTACATACACTGAAAATGAATTACAAACATAATGTTAGATTAATGGATAGATAGACATACAATGCCTTAAGCCACTAATACACACAGCGCTTCGGGTAAGGTGTGGAAAAAAAAGACTAAAACTTAATGCTTGCATAATTGTAATTTTTGCCATTCTTTAAAGATTTTTTTTTTTTTTTTGAGATATATACAAGAGTTGTTACATTCTTGTACAGCCACTAGTACGCGTAGCGTTTCGGGCAGGTCCCTGGAATACGATCGCCGCCGCGAAGAATCGTTGTTACAACCAAGTACACATTTTACTGTTGCGTTAAACAGAGGCTACAGTTGAGGAATTGCGCCCAGTAAATCCTCCCCGGCCAGGATACGAACCCATGACATAGCATATTATCTCAGATGGCTTACTATGTGTTTGAAGTCACACAATATGTAAATGAGTATCCATTCATAATGTCTGTACAGGTGATTGTACAGTGGGATTGGGTGGTTATAGATAGGAGCTGCCTCGTATGGGCCAATAGGCCTTCTGTAGTTACCTTTGTTCTTATGTTCTTATGTGATCACAATCTATAGGTTACCAAATAAAGGATATACTGCATATCATAAGTTGGAACTTCAGACATATGTGAGAAAGTTGGAGGGGTGAGCTGTTGAGAGGTATTTCTCTCTAAAAATAATTTGCCCATCCATTTGGGCTGGACAGTAGAGCGACAGTCTCGCTTCAATTTGCGATTGAATGGTGCCCAAGTGATTGGGCACCATTCCTTCCCCCCCCCTCCCCATCCAATCCTAAATCCTTATCCCGATCCCTTCCAAGTGCTATATAGTTGTAGTGGCTTGGTGCTTTCTCCTGGTAGTTCCCTTCCCCTTTTAAAAACGAGACTAAAATTACAAATTGGATAAGGCTTGGTATAAGGTTAAGAAAACACCGTTAGATTGGCAATGGAATATGAAGTCTACAACATACATATTTGTAAATGGAGATGATAGTTTGTTATTTAACACAAGTTATTATTTAACATTATTATTAACATTTATTAAACATTAGTAATTATTGAATGCAAGTAAATCCATGGTGCACTTCAACATTAAGGAATTAATAAGGTAATCTATTGTTTACTACAAGGATGTAGATATCAGAACCTTGGTGTTTTATGCCTGTCCCTGAATTCATCAAATGGCCCAACAAGGTTCCTGAAGTGAAGAATTTCTGAAAGGTATATAAGAATAATTCTTCAACTAATTATCATTATGCAAGTATCATAACCATCATTGCATACAACATGCTAAAAGCCCATAATATGCAAATTATAGCTATTCTGCTGGCAGAGGCCCTGGGGCTGCAGCCCCCCTAAAAACAGTGCTTTAATCTGGCCCTGGATGTTGGGTTACATGTTGGGAGGGAGCCGGTAGGCCGAGCGGACAGCACACTGGACTTGTGATTCTGTGCTCCCAGGTTCGATCCCGGGCGCCGGCGAGAAACAATGGGCAGAGTTTCTTTCACCCTATGCCCCTGTTACCTAGCAGTAAAATAGGTACCTGGGTGTTAGTCAGCTGTCACGGGCTGCTTCCTGGGGGTGGAGGCCTGGTCGAGGACCGGGCCGCGGGGACACTAAAGCCCCGAAATCATCTCAAGATAACCTCAAGATAACCTACATAGGTGAGTCCCATCTGGTGTGTTTCTCCTTGGAGCCTCCACCAGGAGCCTGTCAGTCTCAGAGGGTCAACACTAGTCTCTTGGTGTCACAGTGATCATCTAAATCAGACCAGTTCTAATTTAGGATTCATTGCTTGTTATCAATTGATGATGGCCTTTCACCCATGAACCTTCATAATCGGTCATGGTCATAATCGGTTCTGTCATGTGTGTCCATATGCCTGTTCAGGTGGCAACCCGTTATGTTTATATAACATCACCCCCACAACATAATGTTATCCACAACATGAGAACTGTATTGAATTTTTTTTTTTTATTTAAAGATGTATAACGTGGCAATATAATATGCCATTATGGTGCTCTTTCAATTAACTTGATACAGTGACACCTCGCCTTACAAATGCCCCTCTTTACAAATTTTTTGGGTTACGCGACTAATTTTTTCATTATATTTGAATCGGGTTACGAACTTTGCCTCGAGTTACGTAGTTTGTTGACATGCATATGGGTGACCGAGTGCATGGTTCCTTGTGGCACGGTTGCCCGCACTTCAGTTTGCCAGTGGCTCCCACTTAGTGACGATTGTGCTTGAAATTTTTCTAAAGAATTTAATTGTTTTTCAGCTTTTTTGGTTTCTAAACATAAAAGTAATTATTATACAGTATACTATTCCATGGGTCTCAAGAAAGTCAGTGGTAAGGTTCAACATAAGAAAGCACATGTGAGGATGACCATAAAAGAAAAATAAGAGATCATTCATAAACATGAAAATGGTACACGGGTTGTTGAACTAGCTAGGCAGTACAACAAATCTTCAGGGAAGGATGTCTTTTCCTCATTAATTTAGAAAATGTGTGCAGTATGGGAAGAACTGCAAAGTTTTGCTGAAAAGACTCACCCAGATAAAACTTCAGCAGGTCATTGCATTGACCTTATTAATGACAATGTGATGTCTCACTACAGACAAGTGTTAAAATGTAAGGAAAACAAATGTCTTTAGACAGATTCTTAGTAAGACATGCAAGCAGTGAGTCACAACCCTTTCCTAGCGGGTATGCATGCAAAACGTAGGCGAGAGAGTACCCCAGAGAAGTCATCAGTGCCTGATGTTATAATGGAAGGGGACCCCTTCCAAACACTTAACACCTCTCCTTTCCCGCTCCTCACCGTTTTCCATATGCCAATAAGAGGCATCAATAAAGGTAAGCTATAACCTGTATATACTATAGTGTTAAATATTTGTGTGAATTAGGTATGAAATGTATTTTGAAGTTAATATTTTTGGGAGTGTGGAGTGGATTACTGTAATTCAATTTACATTATTTCTTATGGAAAAATTCTATTGGGTTGTGAACAGTTTCTTGGAAAAGATTAAATTCGTAAATTAAGGTGCCACTGTATTGCTATCAGCATATTAATCATCTAAATGATATTAAATTTGTATCATAACCACTTAAATGCTCGAATTTTTCTATTACTCTATAAGAGACATTAAACAACTCATGTATCCAGACACATACCAAAGCACCAACATGTTCTGGTGTTATACTATACAAAAAAAATAGGGTCTGAAGTTAAGTTGTGGTGTATTTTGTTACTGTGTGTACAGCTGCATGAACTGTTGCAGATGGGTGAGAAAATAAGAAGAGGTCAGCTGTGCTTCTGGGTGTCAGTGAATGAGGTCAAGGAGACTGAAGATGCGAGGTTACACAGAAACTCCTCGGCATTGGAGTCCCTGCCATATTTCTGTACAACGGCAAATTTACCAAGTGCAGTGGTCTACTTATCACAGGTAAGTCATAAAGTTTTGCCATGTGGTCAGTTTTTTACATATTTATAGTTTTATAGTTTAAAATACAAGTAGGAAAAAAGTGACCACTGTATTCAGAGATGAAGTATACAGTACGTAATTCTAAAAATCCAAAGATGTAATAAAACCAGTAATATTAGCCAAATAATGGCTAATATTACTGGTTTTTGAGGAAACCATCCAAGTGTGAGATGGAAATGCAAAATATCTCTTTGTGGGAGCTAGTAGATCAAGAGAGCATAATATTATGGAAGAGTTTCACAAAGATCATCTATGGGGAGTAGAAGAACTAGAACCTCATCCAGGTACATTCTAGGGTGGTACATAGTCACCCTGGTACATTCATCCAGGGTGACTATGAAAAGCCTTGTGAGCATGAGACACTAATGCTCCCTATGGCAAGATTCTTTTTGATCATTATTGGACAAGAAGTTTTCAGTTACAGCATGATGACAGATTCTACACTGGCACAACAGGGATCTTTTTAAATAATTTAAATAATATCACTCGACACAGTGTTTCCAGCTTGGTGCCTTCTTTTGATAATTACTTTTCAAACTTCCTTGTTGGGTGATACTACTGCTAGGAATGTATTGGAAAGAAGCTCAGTCTAGTCTGGCATGAACTCAAGAAGGTTCACTTAAACACACAAACTCCTTGTCAATGCTAGTGAGGTCTAGCTTACTACCAGATGATAGATGAAGAACATTGCCACCTGCCCTCCCCCTAGAGATGGCCTAGGAACTCTACAAAACAAATAACTGTCACGGGGGATAAGTAGTGTCCGGAAAACACGTGGTCGTCTTTATTTTAACTAGTGCTGTACATAAAGGTATGTTCACTCTTTGTAAACAAGTCAATAGTGTAGAGATGTGCTGTATTTTATTTTACAATTTCTTTACAGGAGCTACAGGGAATGGGCCTCAGTTGTCCTCTTATTGAAACCGGAAGCCAAAGAGTTAATTTGGTGGCCCTTGTGAATACCTGTTGGGAGGTGACGCAGCTGTATCGTGCCTCTGTCAGAGACAGCAACACACTTCATGACCAGAAGAGAAGAGATGCTGCTGATCTTAATCACCTCCAGGTAGTATACTAAAAAAAAAAATTGCTTATGCAGATATTCTCTCAAAGAAGTGTACACGTTTGATTTTTTTGTTAAATATCAAAGGAATTAAATTTGTAATTTTACAAGACGTATAAAATTGTAAGACTTGTTTCATAAATTTTTGTTTTGTTTAGTACAGTACAGTATTATAAGGTAAAAAAAACAATTGGGAAAATATAGCTTGAAGAAATTTCTTGTATACAGTACCAGTATATTTCAATATCCTTTTGTTTGAGAGAAGCACAATTATATACATGTATAGGGATTTGTGATGTCAGAATTACATGCATGTCCACAAACATTCTAAGGACACATTGCAACATTGTCTTTTGTTACATTGAATATATTTTATTGTAATATTTCCATCATTTTTCCATAATAATTTTTATAATTGTTATATTTGTCATAATTTTTGTGGTCCAACAGAGCAATATACGAGATCTTCGAGGGAATGTGGAAGAAAAGGAGCGGCTGGTGTGTGATGCTCAGGAGAGGGAGCGACAAGCCGTCTTAGTTAGTAAAACTCTAGCTTCCAAACTCAAGTCAGAAAAGGAAGAGGTACAGTATTTTTATTCATAATATTCTAGATTATTTTTTCTGAGCTAGGCTCCATTGGCTGCTTGTCCAGTAAAGTGCCAAGCATCACTAAGGACACTGCTATGCCTACCTAACAGTGCTTACCTATCAGTGACTGGGGAGGGGGGGGGGGTGAGAGCTAGCTCTTTATGCCCCACCTTCCAGTTTATTCCCTGCAGTTTAATTACCTCTGTCAGCATTAACATTTTTATCATATCAGTTTATCTTAAAGTTAAAGGAATTACCTCCAACAACCTCTTCCATCATTGCATTTCACTTGCTGACCACCCATACTGGGAAAGGAAACTTCCTTACATCTCTTTGACTCAATTGCATGTCCAGCTTCCACTGATGTCCCCTTGTCTTAACGCTAATTTAAACAGGCTTCCTTTGTTGACTATGTCTACTCCTTTCAAAATCATGTACATACAGGTAGTTATATTCCTTGTTTCTTTTCTTCTCTAAGGTTGTGAGGGGGCGTTCTCTCAACCTGTCTTCATAGCTGAGACATCTCAATTCTGGTAGTACTAATTTAGTTGCAAACCTTCTGAACTTTATCTTATTTCTGTTTATGTTTGACAAGGTTAGAGTTCCATGCTGGTGCTGCATACTCTAGTTTGGTCGCATTGTGTGGACTTGAAAGCCTCCTTGTTTAGATTCTTAAATGACATTCTTGTGCTTGCTAACTTCCATGTGATGCTAATGTTACTCTGTTCTCTTGAACTTCTGGTGTTGGTGTTGGTATTATGTCTACTCTCAAGTCTTTTTCTCTTATTGTTTCTTGAAATTGCCTCCTCCTTTTGGTGTAGTTAAATGCAGGTCTCCTATCTCCTTACCCATTTTCATGACTTTATACTTACTTTATTTGGATTGAATTCCAGCAGCTACTTTCCTGCCCACTTCTGAAGTTTGTCGAGGTCTGCTTGCAGCAACCTACAGTCCACCTCGGTTCTTATTCTCCTCATTAACTTTGCGTCATCTGCACACTGTCACTGCAGGAGTAATGCTTTTTCCCACTGTGTAGCTGGCAGTGATGAGGTAATTGACATCAACTCAAGAACCTGACACACCAGGTAAAAAAAACCCTTTGGAGGAACTGGATGTAACAAACAGTAGGATCAGACCAGATATCACCATGATTACTGAAGGAAGCTGCAGGGATCTTGTGTTACCCATTAACTACAGTGTTCAACATTACACTACAGATGTAAGAACAACCAGAAATTTTGAAACAGCAAATGTAGTTCCAAAATTCAAGAAAGGGGGACAGACATGAAACACTAAACTATAGACCAGTGTCATTAACATGCATTCCATGCAAGATTCTACAAAAAGTATTGTAGTACATTTGGGGAGTAAATTTTTATAAAAAGAGGTACTGTAATTACCTAAAAACTTAGATAATTACACATATACATTCTGTATATTACATTTTATATAAAAAGCATAAATCTTGTAATGTGTAGTGGTAACACACCCACTTTACACACTTTGAGGAAATCATCTCAAGATAACCTCAAGAAGATAACCTTATGAATGATATAGGCTTGGGTTTGAGCCCTTGGCAGGTGGCATGATTGGGCACAAAATGTTACCTGAATTGACCCGAGGGCCACCAACTATCTAATGGAATATTTTTTTAATGATTTTTAATGTTTAAAACATTTGTAAAAATTTTTAGGAAATTTCCAAGAATATGAATTGATTTTCAGTATATATAGTTGTTGGTTCCAGGTTGTAAACCAAATCTGCAAGGCAAAAATAATTTGAAAATGAATCTCATTGTATTCTTTATTACAGGTGCGGAAATTAAGTAGTGTTTTGCAACAGCGGGAAGCACACCATCAACACGAACTTCGGAAAAAAGAGGTAGTTAACATTAAATCTCATTTACATGAGAGTGTGAATGGGCTGTAGAGAGCACAATGTGCTGACAATAATATAGAGAGATACCGAGATAAAGGTTGGCTTTATTTGTCATTAAATTGTTGTCTCTGAGAGCTAGTGGTGAAAATAAAGGAAGGGGTTGAGTTCACTGCATTTTCACATCACTAATATCACCCTACCATCACCTACCTTACCTCAACCTTCCTTCACCTCACTGACCGCAGCTTATCTTCACCTCAATGATCGGAACCCCACCATCATTTCCCTGACCTCAACCTATCATCACCTCGATGAATTGAACTCTCCTTCACCTACCTGACTTCATGCCATCTATGCTGTTCTGTATAGCATGCTATGATATACTGTATGTACAACATGATATACTGTACTCTTTGCAGTATAGGATTCTATGATATAGTCTACAGTACTGTACATGTATAGTGACAATTTGGAAATTCAGTGTAACATTGCAGTTTAAAAGGAAATTAGATTATTACAGTGTACGATTAATAAACAGATTGAGAATAACCGACTTCGTGAGCATCTTCACCGCTTGGTCTCTGGCAATCGCTTATCAGAATTGCGACATCCTGGTATGACTGTCTCTGGTACACTTGCACGACCCAACCGCTCAAGAGCTCAGTGGAAAACAGAAGCCTCAAATGCTCGGTAAGGATGGATGGTGAAGTGTAATCAGATTCGAAATGCTTTGCGTGTGAAGTAGTTTTAAAACTTAAATCTGCAGCTGAATTTAACAAGAGTAAGGATAATTTTGCATTATAACTAGAGTTGGTTATTGCTTGCATGGTATATACATTGTGTTTCTAATATATATAGATATATACATTTTAGCTACTGTACATTAACCTTCAAACACCACACTTTATTTTAATCTCCTATGTAGGTGTGCATAAAGAAAATTCTAACAAATTATTCTCCTTTATATACTGTAAAAATTTATTTCTGATGTGGGATAATATAAAATAAAAAGATAAAATTATTTTAGTTTGGCTGTTGTGAGGTAAAGAAATATTGATGACATAATTTTCTGAAAATATATTTTTCAATTATTTATAATAGATTTTATCACAAATATTTTCCTGGACCAGAAAAGTTCTTAAAATTTTGCATAGCATCAATGTTTTTGACATTCATTTGACTACAGGCATCATAATGTCTGTAGTCAAATGAATGTCAAACTACAGTCAAATTACAATGAGACATCACCATCCATTGTAGTCAAACTACAATGGATGGTGATGCACCTGACATGGTGCCAAATTTTGTTTAATAATGCCCAGGAAGGTAGCCGAGGTTTTCGTGATTTTTTTTTCCCAGTATGGCAAACAATTACCAGAGGTCTCTTAGTGTAGAATGACAACCACATACTGTAGTTTATTTAGGAACTTTGACTAATATTACATTCATATATCACAAATTGTATGTGAATATTAAATACAGATACAGTATCATAAATTATCTGCAGATATTACATACAGATTTCAAATTATCTGTGAATATTACATACAGATATTCAGCTCATCCTACTGTTTCGGTAGTACAGTACTGTTCTTATAGTGACAATGAAGACCATCATACATATATTGACGTAAAAGGCGATTAGAAAAGTAATAGAAATTGGTACTATTGAATTTAGACAAACCGGAAAGGTTTTTGTATTGATGTTGCAAAGAAAACCTAACCTAACCTTGCTAGTCGTAATACACGCTATCTGAGGCCTAATATAGTACACATATGTGCTGTACTAGGCCTAGGAATATTTAAGTTTGGTTTTTAGCTATATGTTTTGGACTATAAAGTGAATAGTACTAAATTTTACTAACTGTCCATTACATCTATGAATGTGAGATGATCCATGTAGTTATAAAAAGTACTATCTACACAAGAGGATGGGTCGAGATATTATGAATTATATGTAGATATTACATGCTGATATTTGTTTGACCAGACCACACACTAGAAGTTGAAGGGACGACGACGTTTCGGTCTGTCCTGGACCATTCTCAAGTCGAAAACTTCTAGTGTGTGGTCTAGTCAAACATACTTCAGCCACGTTATTGTGACTCATCGCCTGTACATGCTGATATCATAAATTATCTCTAGATATTACTGTACTGTTCAAAAGTAACATGAATATTTTTGGATTTCTGAAACTAGACATGAAGAGGACTTACATCGTAGAGTTCTAACCCAGTATGAGGCTTGGGTAGGGCAGCTCAATGATGAAAATGTCCAACTAAAGTCCTGCCTCTCTACTCTTTCCACTCACATGTCAAAACTCGTTACAAAGTATGCAAAAGTAAGTATTCGAGGATCATTTGTTGGATAGTTACAAAATCCTTCACTACGTCCCTCAATTTCAGCTCCTATACCTGTCTTCGTATCTTTTCCATATGCTAGTCATACTGGCTTAGTGCTTTATCCTCAGAATTTTGTTTTCTTTTCTTTTCTAACTTAAAACAAAATCAAGTTTGAATTTTTTATTAAATGACGACTTATTCAGTAAAAATTGCATGGTTTCTGTAAATTATATAAAAGTATTCAGACATATTACTCTGTAAACTTTAAACTCACCTGTGTGTATGACTAAAATCAAATTTTATCAATAAATATTGAAATATACTTTATATATTCCAGATCAAATGGGTATTGAGTAAAGTATTTAGAAATACAGTTGATTGGAAGGATGTTTTTTGGGAAACTGAGAAGTGAAAGTTGTGAACAAATGACAAATTTGAAGTGGTGAACGAAAAAGTAGCAAACGCATAACAAAAAGTAGCAAACACATAACAAAAGAGTGGCAAATGCCAAACAGCAAAGTGGCAAACGCCTAACAAAAAGGTGGCAAATGCTCAACATAAAAGTAGCAAACACCCAACATGAAAGTGGCAAATGCCCAACAGAAAAGTGTCAAAAGCCACATTATAGATCTATGTCATTGACAAGTGTAGTAGTCAAAATACTGGTAAATATAACTAAAACCAAATGGGCAGCTAGAACACTGTGAGAAAAATTCTATAATAAGACAGTATGCTTTTTGATGTACTCACCTAGTTGTACTTGCTGGGGATTGAGCTTTGGCTCTTTGGTCCAGCCTCTCAACTCTGTCAACTGCTATACAGATTCCTGAGCCTTGTTGGCTCTATCATATCTACATTTGAAACTGTGTATGGAGTCTGTCTCCACCACATCACTTTCAAATGCATTCTATTTGTTAACTTGTCTGACACTAAAAAAGTTCAAATGTCTCTATGGGTCATTTGGGTACCTCAATTTCCACCTGTGTCCCCCCTAACTTATGTATGGCTATGTTTATGTAAGGGGGCCCCTGACAGCTGAGTGGACAGCGCTCGGGATTCGTAGGCCTAAGGTTCCGGGTTCAATCCCCGGTGGAGGCGGAAACAAGTGGGCATAGTTTCTTTCACCCCTGATGCCCTGTTACCTAGCAGTAAATAGGCACCTGGGAGTTAGACAGCTGCTACGAGCTGCTCCCTGGGGAATGTGTAACAAAAAGGAGGCCTGGTCAAGGACCGGGCCGGAATGCTAAGCCCCGAAATCATCTCAAGATAACCTAAATAAGATGGTGGGCAGCTGGCTCATGCTCTGCTGGAGCACTGGAAGAAGTTTTTGCCTTTTTACCCATTTGGGTACGGGTTTTGGAGGGGCCATATGTTTGCCCTGACCCATATTGGCTACCCAGTGTACTCTGTATAGGGTGGAGGGCTGGTGTTTGCATCCCTGAGGGACTCCTGGGGCTCCCCAAACATTTGTATATCAATGTGTTTATTTGCCACAAGACGGATATCTTTCTGCCGACAGACAACATTAATTTAACTCTAATGCCTTGCATTTTACTCAGATTCAGATTCAGATTCAGATGTTTATTCAGGTAAGGTATATACATACAAGTGATGTTACATTAATGGATTGATACATAGATAGAGCTAGTACATACAATGCCTAAAGCCACTATTACGCAATGCGTTTCTCTTCATGAAAATGCTGGGGCAGTTGTTGCAATGATGTTAGTACATGCAGACAGTGGTGAGGAAGGCTGGTTGTCGTTCTTGATAACCTTTTATTAATTTCTCATCTTTCATCTTTTTCTCATTAGTGCTTTCTCCATCCATTGCTGGTGGACATCTTCCGATGACCCCATGCAAGTGGGGTCATGGTCTGTCAGTGATTCAGAGTAAACACCATTACACTTTTTCAGAATGAAAACCAATTATCTACCGATGGAGATATGAATTCCTCTATGACCTCATCAGTATTAAGTGCAGATAGTCTGGAGGATCCTGTATATAGGTTAGAGTTCCCGGCTTTCCGTGATCAAGTGCAAGTGATCTTTGATGTCCACATGAAGGCTCTTGTGCAGATATTTGAAGAGAAATGTAAGTTTTGATTAGTTTTGGGGACTCCTAAATATTACAACTTGAACAGAATGCTTTGCTAATTATCGTAGTATGCTATGGCATTTTGTTACTCCTGCTGGGAGGGGTTACTGTTATTGTCACCATCTCTCCCAACTTGCCCTCTCTCTCTCTCTCTGTCCTTCCCCTTTCCCCACCCCCCTCTACCTCTTCTCCTTGCCCCTTACCTCCTCTCCCCCCCTCTCTTCTTTTCACTTTTTCTCTCTCCCCCCTCCCTACCCCAGTTGGTAACTCATAAGAGTTAAGATGTGATAAGCCTACTGAAGTCTCAGTTAAGTATGTCGGATGAATGTTGAAGATTGTATAATCAAATAGAAAGAATGTTAGCAGATTTACATTTAATTGGTGCTTTATGTAAAATAGCTAAATAAGTAATTATAAAACATCCAAGTTATGTCAACGATGAACTGAATCTGAACTAATGATAAAATTATATGCAGTGGATTATCTTATTTCTTGGTGCCATGATACTACATAAGATTATTGTGTTAAAATAACTTTATCCCCCCTATCAGTTGAAACTGAGAAATGTTTATATGTAATCCTGTGCTAACTTATTTCTTAACAGGTAAAAAAGAGAGTGGGGAGGTTGAAGATCACCTGAAGAAAGAAATAAGTCAATTGGAGAAGCAGCTGGCTATAACCAAAGATGAACTGACATCCACCCAGCTTATGCTCAACAAGGGTATAGTGTGATAAGTATTTTGTCTTTACCCAAGTGTAGTTACAGCATGAGAACTATGCTCATGGTGTCCCCTCAACTCTACAATCTTTGTTATATGATGCTTTAAACTGCTGATGGTTTTGGTAATAGGGTCAAGCCTGGCCTCGGGCCGGGCTTGGGGAGTAGAAGACCTCTCGGACCCTCCATCTAGCAGGTATCCACCACCTTCTTCCTGTGCGTGTGTTGTGTACGTGTGCTAAAATACTTAACAACAGGAGCAAATGCCACCACCATACTAACAACACAAACCATTTCCTTTGCTTTTAACATCTACATCAACCACCCTTACAATTTTCCCTGCCATGCCATAGTCATTTATCCTTGCCCATTCCTTTATTCATTACCATAACATTACCCATTTCCCATCTTAATTACTGGGGGTGAGGAGGCATCAGATCAGAGAAAAAAGTGAATGATATATACATGTATCATACAAGAAGGCTATAGATCCTAAAAGAAAAAAATCATATGTCCATTTGTTACATCATTCACCCTAAAAAACTTTATTGCTTCCATTCATCTGGGCTCTAGGAGACGTGAACCTCGTACCCACGTGTGTGAGGCTGAAGCTCACTTCGCTTTTAAAGTTATTGCTGTTCCACGTTTAATGTAAAAACTAGAGCATTAACTATAATGAATTATTATCTGTGAAATGTCTCAATAGCTCCTCATAGTTTACATCACTGGTATCAGTTCCCCAATTATTCAGCTCCTGATAATTTCTTACCTAGATCTAGCACCAGAATCTGGGTCCCTCAAGAGTTGTGAGGGGGACCATGTGGGGATCAAAGATCAACCCACAACCACAGTGAACCCCTCAGAAAGGTAAAGGCCTCACAAAACAAATCACTGTTTTATGAGAAAAGAATGAAATACTGTACTGAAGAAAAACAAGGCGGCCAATAATTGGCAACAGGAAAATGACCCTTGCCCTAACTACCCTGGCTGCCACTTGGTTTTAGACCAGGTATCCCAGGATCCCAGCCATCCACCCTTCTCAGTGACACACTGGCATGGCTGTCCCCAATTCCATGGGCAATAAGGGGACAACAGGACAGGAAGGAGGAGCTACTACTTTGGCATACAAAAAGTGACATTTCATTATACTCAGTGCTGTATTTATGTTCTTACCCTCTTACTAGCTCCCAAGAGCATACTCATAACAGGACCTCGTAGGAGAACGATGTATCGGGAATAAAGGACCACAGGACGAGAAGCAACATAAAAGCTGTGAAAGGGCTGACTAGTGAGGAAGAAATGCAGAAACCATGCTCCTGCACATGCACATGCATGAACAGCTATGGAGTGGGCCACAGAAGAGGCACAAGCATCCAACCCCACAGGGACACTGCCAGAAACAGTCTGGAGGAAAGTACAGTAGGTGACAAAATGGTGAAAAATTCTGTCTATGTGGCTAACCAAAAAGTGCAACAGAGAAGACATCTACACTGGCAAAACGGTTTACTACTTTCAAAATGGAAGGACCAGTCATGTTACACAATCTCATAAATCGTTCCGGTTCGATCCCCGGTGGAGATGGAAACAAATGGGCAGAGTTTCTTTCATCCTGATGCCTCTGTTCATCTAGCAGTAAATATGTACCTGGGATTTATATAGTTGCTACAGGCTGCTTCATGGGGGTGTGTAACAAAAAATGGAGGCCTGGTCGAGGACAGGGCCGCGAGGACGCTAAGCCCCGAAATCATCTCAAGATAACCTCAAGATAGCAGTAAATAGGTACATACCAAGGAGTTAACCCCCTGCATGGTGCATGTGCCTTAAGGGGCTCGACTAGTGGTGCTCATAGCACCTTAAGGCATTTTTAGGTATAAGGAATGATTCAAAACTCTCATGGGGTACATGGGGCTCACATCCTGTTCCTCAGGACTCCAGTAACCACACACCATCTTGATGGAAAAATTGTGTGCATCCCTCCTGGCTGTGAGAGCCTCAGTACTGCCAGAGCAGCCAAGCCTGGCACATGCAGCTCCAGCTCACAGCACAACTGCACAAGTAGGGGCCACACTACCACTTAATAATGATGAATAAAATAAGTCACTGCAATTATTTTGGGATGATAGTGTCACAGATGATCTTGACTGTAATCAGAATTATGTACAAGGTTTAGATATCAGTGAACACAAGATATCTGCAAGTTATGATGTTCATAACAGGAGGCAGACATTCACAGCACACAGTTGAGGTTTGTGAATCTACGCATCATGCAATGTGACCTCATGTTCCTTCTATGAGGAAAAAATTGTAGCAAATCATTGCCATGTAATCTGCTACAGTACTGCATATGCAATAGCATACTATATGATGCAAAAAATCACTTTGCAAATTTTGAAATATCTTTTAACACCTCGGTTATATGCACTTGTAACGGTTCTATTGTTACGTAAAGTATGGTGACAAATAAACACAGACACTTAGATACTATATATATATTTGGTCGAATATACAGAAGTACACAGGTGATACTTTGGTGTGAGTTGAGCGCACTGAGCGTCGGTACAGTATCTCGCAAGTGTCTGCTCTAGACCACACTTGAAAGTAGACTCTGGTTAGTGTTTGCTATTCTGCTGCTTATATGCTTGGGCAACGCCTCACCTCATTCATCTCCAAAGGTTGACAGGAATATTAACAATGGAGCGAGTATATTATTGGGATAATCTACTCGCTACAGAACTCCCCCTCCCAGGGGATGAAAGGAAAAATACTTGATCAAGGAACTTAGCTGGTCGGTGAATTGTACGCCCTGCTCGCGTTACATAACCATCAAAGTTAACTTCCTCCTCTTCGCTGATGTCATCTAATTGGGGTCGTAGGGTGGGAGGTCGCACAGGATCAGGTTGTGGTGCGGCTGGTAACTGGGTTTGTAGGGTGGGAGGTCGTACAGGATCGTCCGTTGTCGTAGGTGGCGGTGCTGCTGGTAACTGTGGTCGAAAAGTGAACTGCGTAGTCGGCGGATGTGTCTCTGGATTTAGCAGTGTCGCAGACGTTGAGACGAAGCCTGGAGCAGAGCAGAGAGCTGAGTGAGGCCGGAGTCGTGGAGCTCTATGTGGGAGAGCGTGGCGGCTCGATTGAGAATTGTGAGTGTCTAAACTCGGGGAGCGAGAGCGTGGCGGCTCGATGCGGTCGTAGTCTGCTGTCTGCTCTGTGTCGAAGCTGTAGCGTCTTGGGTTGATTAGGACTGTACATGCCGAGTACTACATTGTTGACTGTGGAAATTGTAGTCTGGTACCAAAAGATGTAGGCAGTGTGTGGACAAGCTCGGTGTAGCAGGAGAGAAGAATGTGCATAATTGTTGCGTCCTTGGGTCGCTGGTGGAGCATTTAGATCCGGGGCGGATGGGCTCGGGCACCAGGACATTAGGAGGTAATGTAGGCACGTAGTTAGGACAACGAGGTAATCACTGCTAGAGCTGAATTGTCCTGGAGGCGACGAAGAGTCGGAAACGCAAGCTGTAAGTCCTTTACTGCGCAAAGTGCTTGAGTCGGCAGAGTATCAGAATGCAGTGAACGTGTAGATGAATCTGACGAAAGAGCAGTTTTCGTGGGCGCCCCTGTAGAACAAGCAGTGCCCTGGTAGCGACGGAGAGTCGGCAGGACAGGCTGTAGATCACCCATTATGTAGTTACTGATGAAGCTGCCAGATGAGTGAGTAGTGATCGTGGAGCAGCAAGCCGTAGTAGATGAAAATGCAGAGATGATCGCGATGAAAATCATAGCTATGGCAAGGGTGTTGGCAACGTTCCATGACAGGTGGCTGCGGTCCACAGCAAGCAGCAGCAGTGGAGGTCCAGTGAGAGTCCATGTTGTAGTCCATCGTGGCTGGGTGTCGTCGAAACTCTCTGGGGTCACCAATGTAACGGTTCTATTGTTACGTAAAGTATGGTGACAAATAAACACAGACACTTAGATACTATATATATATAGTATAGTATAACACGGTGAGGTGTTGCCCAAGCATATAAGCAGCAGAATAGCAAACACTAACCAGAGTCTACTTTCAAGTGTGGTCTAGAGCAGACACTTGCGAGATACTGTACCGACGCTCAGTGCGCTCAACACTCAATCTGTTTCAAATTCTGCCTTGCTGTATATACTATTATGGCAACAAAGGATGCAAAATATTATAATAAAGAAAAGAATGGTACTGTATAAGTGAATTAATATTTATTTTTTAGTTAACTCTTCAATGATTTTAACAGATGAGGGCACCAGAGACCAAGAAAAAGAGTTGTCGTTTCTAGCAGACAGCAGGTGCGTAGAAGAGAGAGCGACTCTGGAGAGGGCCAGGCAGGAGGTGGCAGCAGAGAGGAAATTGCTGCAACAGGAGCGACACTCCTTCACAGAAGCTACCATCAGACTCAACAGAGAAGTGAGTAGTAAATGATTGTAGCAGTAACTAACAAGGCGGTGGTCTGTGGCAGATGTTTTACAATTTATTGTGGTCTGTGGCAGATGTTTTACAGTTTATTGTGGTCTGTGGCAGATGTTTTAAAATTTGGTGTGGTCTGTGGCAGATGATTAACAATTTATTGTGGTCTGTGGCAGATGTTTTACAATTTATTGTGGTCTGTGGCAGATGTTTTACAATTTGTTGTGGTCTGTGGCATATGTTTTACAATTTGGTGTGGTCTGTGGCAGATGTTTTACAATTTGGTGTGGTCTGTGGCATATGTTTTACAATTTGTTGTGGTCTGTGGCAGATGTTTTACAATTTGTTGTGGTCTGTGGCATATGTTTTAAAACATCTGCCACAGACCACAGGAACATTGTAGGCATATTAGGTAGCATTTGTAACAAAAGATTTCACTTGAGCTGTGCAGATTTAGCTACACACTTGTTTATGCTATTACGGCAACACTATGCAAACAGATGAGAAATATACTGGATATTTTACAATGACAGACCTATATGGGCAAATCTAACCAACGTGATAAGAGACATGTGTGAGGCAAATAGCCTATCTTGAGGTTATCTTGAGAGGATTATGGGGGCTTAGCGTCCCCGTGGCCCGGTCCTCGACCAGGCCTCCTTTTTGTTACACACCTCCCAGGAAGCAGCCCGTAGCAGCTGTCTAACTCCCAGGTACCTATTTACTGCTAGGTAACATGGGCATCAGGGTGAAAGAAACATTTTGCCCATTTGTCTCTGCCTCCACCGGGGATAGAACCCGGAACCTCAGGACTACGAATCTGAGGCGCTGTCCACCCAGCTGTCAGGCGCCTAGCATTCATAGATAAACTATCAGCCATATTTGCAGATTGTGGAAAAAAAACAAAACACATTGGCCAATGAACTAAACTCAAGAAGAAGTACAGTAGTTTAGAGTCACAATAACAGTCACTGATTGCAGTGGCTCCCTAGCACCTTAATACTCCTGGGGAGAAACGTTTTTGTACTGTTCTCCGAGCCGGTGTAGTATGGTGGTCCTGCCTGACTACTGTACATGTTCCTGACCTGTACACAGGGGATCCCACCTTAGGGAATACCCAAATGAGATAGCTTAGAAACAGGCATTGAACTGCACAATAGGAGGGAAGTATCTCAATCCTTAATAAACATACAAATTTTTAAATTATTTAATAAAACTGATGTTGGAAGGATTGAAGGCATTGAGTATTCTGGTACAGTATATACTGTAGTATGGATATGTATGAAAAATAATGTGAAAGTATTATGATTACAATTAGCACTAGATATAATATTTTGAGACATATGTTGTTCCATTGTTGTAAATTAAGAGAGTTTAATTCCTCCCAGAGGGCAGCATTTGAGGCTGAGAAGGTGGAACTGCTGAGAAGACAGTTTCTGCAGGAGTTGCCGTCAACACTGAACGACACGTGTGTTGATGCCACGGTAAGTGGCTATTTCAGTTCCACATAGGTATAACTGCACTCGTTCATCTTCATCAGAACTACAGGGGGTATAACTGCACTCGTTCATCTTCATCAGAACTACAGGGGGTATAACTGCACTCGTTCATCTTCATCAGAACTACAGGGGGTATAACTGCACTCGTTCATCTTCATCAGAACTACAAGGGGTATAACTGCACTCATTCATCTTCATCAGAACTACAGGGGGTATAACTGCACTCATTCATCTTCATCAGAACTACAGGGGGTATAACTGCACTCATTCATCTTCATCAGAACTACAAGGGGTATAACTGCACTCATTCATCTTCATCAGAACTACAGGGGGTATAACTGCACTCATTCATCTTCATCAGAACTACAAGGGGTATAACTGCACTCGTTCATCTTCATCAGAACTACAAGGGGTATAACTGCACTCATTCATCTTCATCAGAACTACAGGAGGTATAACTGCACTCCTTCAGTTATATATGATTTCGTGGCTTGGCGTCCCCGCGGCCTGGTCCTTGACCAGGCCTCCTTTTTGTCACACATCCCCAGGGAGCAACCCGTAGCAGCTGTCTAACTCCCAGGTACCTATTTACTGCTAGATGAATAGGGGCATCAAGGTGAAAGAAACTGCCCATTTGTTTTTACCTCGACCGAGAATCGAACCCAGTCCCTTCGATTGTGTGTGTGTGTGTGTGTGTGTCGGGAGTGGTGGGTAATTACCTAAGTGTAGTTACCGGATGAGCAGTACACTCATTCTGGTCTTCCCAGTACTGTCATATAATACTTTGAAACTACTAACGGTTTTGGCCTCCACCATACCCTGAGGTTACCCCGAGATGTTTTCGGAGCTCAGCATCCTTGCGGCCCGGTCGACGACCGGACCGTGGGGACACCAAGCTCCGAAATTATCTCAAGGTAACCTCAAGGTATGTTGGAGGTATCCTCGGCCGAGAATCGAACACATGCCCTTCGATTGTGTGTGTGTGTGTGTACTCACCTAATTGTGCTTGCGGGGGTTGAGCTCTGGCTCTTTGGTGTCTGTGTGTGTGTATATGTTGGGAATGGTGTGGGTAATTACCTAAGTGTAGTTACCGGATGAGCGGTAAACTCATTCCTGTCTTTCCAGTACTGTCGTGTAATACTTTGAAACTACTGACGGTTTTGGCCTCCACCATACCTTGAGGTTACCTTGAGATGTGTTTGGGGCTTAGCGTCCCCGCGGCCCGGTCGACGACCAGGCCTCCTCGTTGCTGGACTGGTCAACCAGGCTGTTGGACGTGGCTGCTTGCAGCCTGACATATGAATTATAGCCTGGTTGATCAGGTATCCTTTGGAGGTTACCTCGCTTGTTCCACCATTTACCACTCTGCAAAAGTGAATTTTGTTATGTTTCTTCAGGAGCTTTGTTTAGTTAGCTTAAATCTACGACCTCTTGTTCTTGAAGTTTCGAGGTCTCAAGAATTCTTACTTATCAATTTTGTCTATTTCCATATGTGAGTGGGTGGGTGAGTGTCGGTTGTCTTCCTGGGAGTAGTGCAGCTAAAAGATAACATAGAGAGTGGCACCTCTCACAAGTCCTCAGTGACCCACAAAATCACACGATTTGAACAGGACCAGATTGTGTTTTCTGTGTTGGTGGGATGGGGTCAGACCAGTGTGTTGTTGGTGGAGGGAGGGTGGGAAGGGTTTATTCATGCAACACATTACAAATGGCTGACTATTATTAGTTGCATTACAAATGGCTGACTATTATTACAGTACATCTGTATTTCCATTTATAAATTCATGTAATAAGATCCCTTCACTCTTCAAAAACACCCAATGTTGACAAGCAGGATAGCCCCATCATTCAAGATAAATAATACAGTACTATATGCTGTGTTTTTTAATATTACATGTCCCAAAATGTTTATTTTGTGATGATTTTTTGGTGGTCCGGGAACACATGTCCCATTTATAGCATTACTGTACTCCTATGGGAAAGCTTGTTCCATGTTCCGAATAAATGTTTTATGAACACCTTTTCGGAATGTAACTCATTCATAGTTGGGGGACTCCCTGTATTTATATTAAATATTAATAAATCAGAGGAACATTACATGAATTCTTTTTTTTTTCAGGAGACTTCCTTACACTGAAGACCACTTGTTTGGTCCAGTAGTATAGCAATATACGTTTTTAACTCAGTCAAGAATCTTGGATTCGCTCCCCAGGCAGGCGGGACAGAAATGGTCGGACACATTTCCTTTCACATGAGGCCTCTGTTCAATTAGCAATAACTGGGTACTTGGGAGATAGGCAACTGTTGTGGGTTGCATCCTGGGGGAAGGTCAGTAGTTGGCTCAAGGGGAGATTTCAATAAGTACAGGCTTCCTGTTCCCAGACAACAGAAATAATTATATTTCACTACAGTACAGTACTATGAAATGTAATTTTGGGAACCCTGTATTTATCAAGCATGTGCTATTTGTAAACCATTTTATACTAGACTGTTATATTTTCTTTTATTAGGACAGCAGTGGTAGTCTATCAAGTGGGAGTATTGGCGATGCGTTTGACTCTCTGCAGCGAATAGTAGCTGTGCCGAACATTACCCCACCACGTGGCACTGTCACTTTTGCTCACGACTCGCCAGTTATTTTGGGCCCCACTAGCCTGCCAAAACAGCAGCAGCAGTAAGTCCTTAATTGTTGTAGAAATACTGTAATACTAATTTTGACTTGTTTTAACATAAGTTTTGATATGTAGTTTGTAGTGGTCTAAAATGCCGAGTTATTGCCGAGCTCGCTCATTATACCATACACTGTAGTTCTCTCTTGCAGAGTTGTAGATGAATAAAACAATTTAAGCAAGAAGGTGGTGGATGCCAAAACCATTAGTTGTTTTAAAATGTCATATGACAAAGATTATAGGGCAGATGGGACACCATGATTGTAGCTCTCATCCTGTAACTACACTCGGGTAATTACTGTGTGTCATGAAGCATGCACCATAGTCAGGCAGGATGATATACAGCATCGGTACCACAGGAATCTTTCCATACAATGCTGCATCAAGTGTGAGGGAGTCACTGGAGAAGATACCAATCCAGTGAGCAACATTGGTTCATGTTGCTCATTCATCGGCTTCAATTATCTGTTCCCTTTTCTATAAAGAGTCAAAGACAGTCTTACTGTGCACCCTACTGGTTTAGGCTTTATCATAGTTTGTGGAGAGATGTGCACAAGAGTTGCTCTCTCCTTTATAGAAGTTGATAATCTGGCTTCAGGGGTTCTACTTTTTACTGTGGTTAAGGGCAGCAGCCCAGTTTACCTGTATCTGGTCGAGGTGGTCTAGGTTTTGTCACTTGGTCATTGTTTGTGCCGAGGCATGTAGGGTGAGAGAGAACCATGTGGTGTATGATGGCAGAATATCAACTGGAGTTAGTGACAGAGAGGCATCAGTATTGGTTTTGGCATTTACCCTGTTGATTTCACCCAAGGGAATGGAAGGAGTGTTGTTAGTGGATAGCTACATTTAACTTTCCATTGCAATGGTCTGCTTATACAGCTTCTATTAAACTTAGGTTGCGAATGCAGACACTTTTGTATTGGAAGAGAGAAGAAATGAGGAATACATGATCAAAATATAAAATTCTCTGGAAGAGAGAGGGGGCAGGCAAGGACATACAAGGCATAGGCATAGGCAAGGCAAGGCATAGATGGTACATAAACAAAAGAACACTGGTGGATACTAAATAGCCAAAAACCCACATGGACATTAGACATAATTTTTTCAGTGTCGGAGAAGTGAATTAATTTAAATGCACTAAAAAGTGTACTGGTGGTATTGGCGGAGGCAGACCTCATTTACAGCTACAGAAGTAGATATGACAGGTTTGGATTCTTCACACCAGTAAGTGGAAGGTTGAAAGACAGGACCAAAGGCCTGAAGCTTCTTCCCTGCTAGAATAGGGTAGTACACAGGTAACTTCATGAGGGGTGGACTTGGGGTTTCTAGTTTATACCTGTAAATAGACCTGACTGTCATTACTGGCTGAATTGATATCATCTCAAGTGACTTCCAGTGCACCATATGTAATCCTGCAGTAACTTATATTAAGATCCCTTAGGCATTAGTGGCCAATGTCATTTTGTCTCAAGTTACGTGATTCTTAATACACAGTGGATCACTTATCAAGGAGTGGTAGAATGATCTGCTTACATAGGCACTTTTCATAAACTTGGTCTGATTTTTGTGTGAGCATGGTATAATTTGTGTGTTTCACAGTGTACAGTACTTTATTAACTGTAGTAAGAGTTAATAATACAACATTTAACTGATTTTAGTTTCTTGCACAGTTTGTAAGTTGGGATATTAACTAATAATCTTTAAGGGTTATTGTTTGTATACTAAAAACCTTGCTTATTTTTTCTCTTATTTTAGTGATTCTAAAAAACGACAAGGATCTTCGAGAAGACTATGAATAATAGTAAGTTGCTTTTACTGTTGGGAAGAGATTTTTAATATATAAATACAAAAGGTCCCTGAGATATAAATGTCTGACCTATGAACACTCATACTTATAAACCATATACAATACAGGTAGATAGTACTGTACAAACAAAATTTTTCTGTGTCAGTTCTTTCCTTCACAGCACCTCACACTTTTTTTCATAGGAAGACAGCACTTATTCTCTCCAGCCAAGTTACCGAGCTCCCAGGTAACTTGCTCTCAATTTCTCTGTTTTGTGCGGGTGATACGCTGGGCTTTCGGACTTCATATGCATTTAATCGTGTGGAGAATTCTATTGCGAACACATTGATATCAAATTGGAAAACCTAGGATGAGAATTGAGATGACAAAGTTGAAAAGAGGGGGGGTCCCCCGCGGCCACTTTTCAGTATTACCGTCCTCTCTAATTGACGGCCCTGTGCTTCACCCTGCTCTCATCACCTGCATTCATCACATCAGCGGGTGGAGCGCGCCACAGTTTTTGACATTATATGCATATACTCTTGTTGGGAAGTTTATTGCGAACACATTGATACCAAAATGAAAGACCTAGGACGAAAATTGAGGTGACCAAAGTGAAAAGAGTGTATACATTTTATCGCTCTTGCGGGCTCTCGGGTAACTTTCTCTCACTTTCTGTTTGCTGCAGTGGTAAGCTGGGCTTCACATGCATTTAATCGTCTAGAGAATTCTATTGCAAACACATGGATATCAAATTGGAAAACCTAGGATAAGGTGACAAAGTTGAAAAGAGTATACACTTTTCAGTATTACCGCGAGCTCCGGTCGGCCGAGCGGACAGCACGCTGGACTTGTGATCCTGTGGTCCCGGGTTCGATCCCAGGTGCCGGCGAGAAACAATGAGCAGAGTTTCTTTCACCCTATGCCCCTGTTACCTAGCAGTAAAATAGGTACCTGGGTGTTTGTTAGTCAGCTGTCATGGGCTGCTTCCTGGGGGTGGAGGCCTGGTCGAGGACCGGGCCGCGGGGACACTAAAGCCCCGAAATCATCTCAAGATAACCTCCCGCGGAACGTCCAAAACCATTAGAGTAGAAGAAATGCTCGCTTGCCCAAAGCGCTAAAGTGTTAAGGGCAAGAAAACAAAAGAAACAAAAATGGACTCATTACAGGAAGAGGTCTAACCCTCAAACATACCAGCAATATAAATAAGCATGAAACAACTACACAGCAGTGAGAAGGGAGGCAGAAAGAAGCTTTGAGAAAGGGATAGAAGACACATCTAAAAGAAAATGTGACCTATTCAATAAAATCGTGAAAAGCAAATTGCCAGTAGAAGTTAAAGCCCAGAGATTAAGAATGGCAAACAGATTCACAGAGACTGATAAACAGACATTTAGTCTTACACAGAGTTTTTGTATGTATTAATATATTTAGTTCTGTACATAATGTAACCAAAAATCTTTAAAAACACCCCCTTGAGCCAATTTCAAAGTTACTTGATAAGACCTTGTCTCTACAATGGTGAATAAAAATTGTGGTGAGTAAAAATGGTTTGTTGAATTTTTTCCTCCATTGAAAAGGCCTTTCCTGAAGGGTCGAACAGTGGTACCCTGTTGCTAGTCACATCAGCCCTTGCGAGTCATTAAAAGTCTACTGGGAACCTGAGGTTAAAACCAGAGAGCAGGGGATACACCCTCTACGAGAAATCAAGCCTTCGGAAAGAAGCAAAGCAAAACAGACAAGAGCAAGGTCAAAAATGAGTAAAAATAATAAATGAAAATAAAAGAAAATCCCACAATTCAGCCAGTGTTGTGGCAGCATTACTGGAGGTACTGGCTCTCATGTCAACACACCTTCAAGTCATTTGCCTGATGTCAGCCACTACTGACTGCTCCATTGAGTTGCCAGTTCTTTGAGTCTCAAATTATTTTTCTGTGGTGCTGGGGGTGTGGGAAGGGCATTTGCTTTTGTATCATTCAAATCTTTAGCATTTGCTCCCCATGTGTGTGTATGCCTCATTTGTGGACTTGGCAACAATTCACCTTGAGCTGCATGTATTTAAAGCTGCCTTTTCCCAGGTGCTTGCTGGTGTTGCCTCCCCTGCAATAAAAGGGTTACTTCGTTGGTGTGTGGGGGAGTGTTCGTTCCTGAGAGGTCATCCTCCTGAGGAGGGTGCCTCGTGCTGAGTAGTACAAAGATCTGTGATGCCTCTGTGAAACTCTTAGGATGAGGGCTTTCTGGGGTTGATCATTTAAAGGCATGCACTAGGGTCTGAACACTTGTCCATATAGCACACCACTGAGTTGCCCTTTGTAGCAAAGTTTTACCTCAGAGCTGCACTTGATGTCATTTCTTTTCAGCGAACATCCCTAGTGCCTGGGTGTCCTGCTTGGTGTTTAACTTAGGCCCTAGCAAGCCCTTGTAGGTCTTTGATGTGGATCATTATTGAATGATGCACCAAGGGTATTACCCTGAGCTTGTGATGTTTGAGTTTGTTAGGTTTCTAAGCTGGAGCCTCCATCTGTTGATGCTCTTTGTTTTATTTTGTATTGACAAGGCTTCACAGATATCAGCCACTTTGGGGTTGTGTTTTGGATTTTGTTGTTTGCCACTTAGTGCTCAAGTGGTTGCCCCAAAACCGGATTTATGCTCACCCTACCGCTTCCTTCCACTGGCTGGCATGGTTTGCCAGACCTCTTTTGTATCATTCAACCCTGCTTTGCGCTGGGCTCAGGGATATCTGAGGGTTTCAGAGTCTGGGCTGTGATTGGCTATGGGTGTAGCTCAGCCTTTTCTGGGGATTGCTCCTTCCATGTTGGCAGCAAAGACAGTTGTGCCGTTGCTTCCTGCCAGAGTTCCGTAGCCTACTGTTTCTCTGGTGGGGTGTATTTGTTTCAGATCCTTTAGTGTGTAGTCTTCCTGTTTGATCAGTTTCTTCATTTGCAGCTTTCTCCTTTCTGGCAAAGAATGAGATGGTTGGCTTCCAAAGGGGTCCTTAGGTTACTGATTTATAGTTCATTCAGGCTGTAGTGCATCCGGATTTGACTGATTGATTTGAGCATCTTCCCTTTTGGGGGGTTTGGTCTTCTGGTCTCCTGTGCCTTTGGTGGCTTCCATTTTAGCTTCCTCTGTTGTTAGCAACAAGGAGCACCCCCCCCCCTTCAAAACCTGCATTGAGAGTAATGAAATGCCTCTTTCTGTGGAGTCTCAGTGACTCCCTGGGCTCCTCCCTACCTGCATGGTGAGTTGGTGGGCTTGTGTTTGGCTCGGGCCAATGAGTTTGTTGACATGGGAGCCAGTAACTCCAGTGGTAGGCTTTTAATTACTGATGTGCATTAATAGTAAGGAGCTATCTCAGTGTGGCTAGCAACAGGGGGGCCATTGAGGTCTTCCCCCCCCCCCCTGTCACTACCCCTCCCAAGAAAGAGGCACTTCATTGCATTAAATGCTGTTTTTTATCAGGTTTGTCTCCTAAAATAAAATAAAAAGAATTTTTTTTCAGAAATACAAAATTGTGCCCAAAATAGTCTATATACAGTAATTTGTTACCTGATTTGTGATTTTGTTGACACCCTCTAGCATGCATAACAATTTGCCTTGTACATATTCTGAATGGTTTTTAATAACTTAACATTAATATTGGCATATATGCATATTTTCTAACATACTCAGTTTCGATATACTGTACTATATAAAATAAATGCTTTCAGTGATGTTTGCTGTAATGCACAAAGTCGAAAGGCTTCATGTGTCTTCCATCAGAAGTCTGCCCCAGCAAGTAGGGCGCCATCTCTCCCCCGACAAGTGGAAGTAGAAACACAAGCATTTGGTAATGGCGTGTCCAGTGGCGTCTGTCCTCTACGCACTCGGCCACACACCTTGGAAAGAGTAAATAGAAAATCCGTGTCGGGTATATCCACTCCAATTTACAGGAGCAGAAGTCAGAGCCGAGGTGATTTAACAAAGGAAGGTGCCCAAGGAAGCAACAAGTGTAAATTAATTAGCCAACCTTCACAAAGAGAAGCAGCCTTACTTTGCACTGTGAATTCAAATTTTTGTGATAAATATTCACACAACAGTGCCAACAAAGAATGTGTGAGTGGTTCATCTGCAGGTTATCAAAAGTACAAGTTTCACTGTGGTGTAAACCCAAAGACAACAAAATTAACCAAAAAATTACCTATGTCTATTAACAGGAAAGATGGAAAATATTCCGAAGAAGATCAGTATGAAGATACTCTTAATATTGATTTTTATACGAATGACCAAGATGGCAATAAATCGCTCAACACCCTTGAAACAGATCTCATGAACTTAATGGCAAAGATCACTCAACGACAAGAGGAACACGATTCAAAGTCGTTCGTTGATCTTCCTCCACCTTATGAAGAGCTCACACATCAACAGCCACCTCAGAGAAATACTCTTTCACTCTGCAACAGTGCTCCTGGGAGTTTGCGTGGAAGCAGGAGGGCGAGTCGAGATGTTGGCGTTCCGGGAGATTTTCTGAAAAGAATGCACAAACCAAAATCAAAAAAATCTAATAAATCATAATTACCATAGATAAAATGTAGTTAAATAACATTGCAATAGTTAAATGGAAATAAGGTGAGTTAGACTGAGATGATGTACTTACACCAAGATTGTACTTATCAGGATTACCCGGATACCCCATACACAATAGACAATATAATGATGCAATATGGGCATCAGTCTTTGCAATAATGTTTTATTTTGAAGGCAGTAGTTTCATTACATGAGGTGCTTGAATGTTTACTTGAGAAAGATATTCTTGCAAGTTCCATTTGAATATATTTTACTGAGCAGCGTGTAAACTGGTGCTCATAGTCACTCTTATAATTCATAGTTTTCTATTTATTACAATCACTTGTATATTTATATTTGGTAGTTTTGTGTGTGTTCGACAGTTGGATATTTGTGCTTCTCGTATGTTTATATTTAGCCATTTTGTTTAATTTTTTTGAGAATTATATGTTTGATCCTTACTAGGTACTGTAGATGGATTAATAGTCTAGCCTACAGATTGGTCACTGATAACAATATTTTGTAAATACTGTATTTTAACATGATTTCTGATACAATAGTTATTCCAAGGCTCAGGCATATGATAAACAATGTTTCTATAGCAACAATATGCAACCCATTCCTTTATGTATATTACATTCTTTCACTTGGTAGGGGTGACTACACAGGTTGTGGTAGACACCACTATAGCACTTAGTGCATGGGGTGATACCTTTTTCATACATATTCTCTCATTCCAATCACCTTGTATTGTTTTCCTTCTCAGCCTTTTCCCTACACATTACCCGTATTCAAACTCATTCTCTGTATATGCTTTATATCCTTATCACACCTTTACTGTACTTCATCCTTTACTAAATTGACCGTAGCCATCTTAACATCATATATTCTTCGGATATCTTCATTTATTCCATCATTACATTCAGCCTTATACATTACTGTACTAAAACCTCCCTTTTAGCATGTGTATTCATATAGTTTTTATGTTATTGCCCACCAAACATCACATAATATTGTGAACCTCATTTTTAATGGTACTCTCTCATCTTGATTGATGTTCTGTAATGTTTCCCCCCCCCCCCCCCCTCACTGCCCCCTTGGCTGTTACCGGGAGACTAGACACAATGTTATAAAGAATTAAGCCAGACATTAACATGTTTATATTGAGAACGTATCTAAAATAATGGCAAGCATTTGATGCATCCTCAGTCCACTGTGATATTAATTTACTTGAAAAAAGTGCCTAAGTCATAATTATGTGCACACACAAACACATGAGTGGGGAAGAGGAAGAACACTTGGATGTGTAAGGATGCTTCATAATATTGGTCGTATTATAAGATATACCGACATGGGAGACAGGGATGCTTTCTTCAGCCGCCCTCATATGCCTGCATTGTGTTCAGTTTTCTATTCTTGTTCTAAAATACTTTTGACAGAGTTCAGCAGAATGCATTGAGGTTTGGTGTACATTTGTTGTCAACAGGTTTGGATTAAGATAAATTCAGTTGTTGGGAGCGCACATTTCAATGCAAGAATGCAACCACCATTTGCATTAAAAAAATTTTTTTTTTTTTTATATTGGAAGATGTATGCATGATTGCATTTTGTTGTATAGGTATATGTCTCTACTTAGAACTTTGTGAGAATGCATTGTACGGAATACAAAATCTTTAATTATAGGGTCACTGAAATGCGCAATCGCATACCTTTTACTTCAACTACTTTCATATAGCAGTAGCACGTGGAGAAGGTTGTGGCAGTGTTTAAAAGAGTGTTCAACAATGGAACACGGTAATCCGAGCATGGTAATGCTCAGATTACTGTAAAACAAACGTGTGTTTTGTCATACTCCAATTTCAAGTTTAATGACACCGATGAATGTGTCTCCTAATATCAACTCTTGTTCTTAATATCAAACACTTTTCCCTGTAATAGACGATCTCCATTGGCAGCAGTAATTTGCTTCACATCCACACACACTGCTCTGTACCTATCTTGTCTTATTTTGGTTACTGTGTTCAGATTTTTGACTTCTCTATACTTCGTTCATCTGAACATTGCTTTATGTTAGCTGCTGTACCTTAATTTGCATGTTCTTTAATTTATATGCTTTTCAGTTATGGGAAATAGAGGAAACAAGGGAGATATATAGTAGGAGGAGTGAAGGGGAGCTGTACATGAAGAGTACTGTATAGAGCAGGCATTGTAAGCCCCTGACATGTTTTAAATCAAACCTGCATGATGGTGTTTTGTTTAGTATTTGTTGTAGCTATCATGTAGGAATACTATCACGCAGAACTTATTGCCCAAGAAATGCTATAACTTTCTCATACTTACGAGCAACAGTATATCCGGATCTGACCCAGATACCTGGGTCAGTTCACTCTGCCGGTATAGAATGTAATTGATTTGTATATAATATGTGCAAACAAGCAAATGTTAACTTTCATGCTGGTCTGTCATAAATGATAGGCTAAGCAAGGTTCTTGCAAGGGACCCGGGTTCAACTCCAGGGCAGGACAAAAATGGTTGGGCATATCCACAAGGGCCGTGATGAGCGCTCGAACCTACGTCCAGGATGATCCCAGACGCGCCTTAGTTGACTGCGCCAGGACATGGTTAAATAATAAAATAAATCGAATCCCCCTTGTGGATTTGTTCATTTGATGCATCACGCTATCGTGATTTCTGTGTATGGTTGGGCATGTTTCCTTTCACCTGATGCGTCTATTCATCTAGCAGTAAAGTAGATAGTTCCAGGGATTAAACAATTGTGGGTTGCATCATGTAGAAGGTCAGTAGGTAGCCTAGGGAAGACCTCGATAAAACTAAATACAGGTTTTCTGTCCCTGATAGCAGGAATTATAATATGGTACCATTACCCACCGTTCCCACTTTCATGGTGTGTGGAGGCATCAGCCTAAAAAAAGCGAATAACATAATAAAAGGTTATACATATTAATTATAAAACATTACAATTATTACTCGTCCATTTATCATAAATAATACAATACATAGCACCAGAGTTAAACACACACTTCCACACTCACCAGTCATCCTCATCAGCAACCCACTTCCTTGTACAACCAGGTATACAATCCTTTATATAAATTGTCATATACATTCACTCCATACAAATTGTATACAGTGCTTTATAAAAAAAGTGTCATATACTGTCCATTCACTCCATACAAATTGCTTCCATCATGCCATGTTCCTTGCAATATCCTTTGAATTATTCAGAATCACTTCCCACATACATATATATCATGTCCACCCATCTTCCCAGCCTTCCTCTACACCTTTCACTGGGTATTTATTGAATAGTGTTTATAATCAGAGACTACTTATACAGTATAGCATTCGATTTGGAACTTTCTCTTGATAACTACTGTACTCTACTTTATACCCAGAGATGGGATACTGAATCCATCCCCAAAGACGTGTGACAAAGTTCTTCCATCGGTTAAGAAATATAATAAAAGGCCCATTGCCTGGAGGTTTTTGCTCCATTGTCCTAACCAGTTGAGCCTTGTAGATATTTGAACATATAATTAATGTGCACCTTATGTGATTTTAAAACTATCATTCTCACTCCCAGTTTGGTTTTGCGGTACAACTGGCATTTTAGTGGATTTGGAAGGTCACATTTGCGATGCTAATTTCTTCTACATGTAAATTCTTCATGACCATCCTTTTTGGCATTGATTTTGTCTTTAATCCAATTTGTCACAACTGTATTTTTTTTTTAAAGCTTCCTCTCCAGCCGAACCTTCAAAATTCACACTGGAATCACTTCTTCCTCTTCTTATTGACAATGTTAATGGGTCCTACAGGGCATTGTTTAACTCTTAGGAGGCGATTATCATCTATTGATGATCCTCAGAGTAATGCAGTTATCATATGATTATTTAAATGATTATTGTCTGGGTTTTACATGTTTGATGCAAATATGAATATAATAGGTCTATGTGGATGTAATGGAGTTTACCGTGGCCCATGAACAAAAATCCTGCTACAATTTCAATGTTACAAATGCAGTTAGTCATGAACACTAGGGGAATGAGGTCATTGTCATGCAACGATTTAAAAAATTATTGTCGGGATTTACACATATGGAGCAGATATAGATATACAGTAATGGCTGTCTGTGGATGTAAATAAAGAGAAACAAGTGGTGTTATGGTGTAGATTCTTCATTTTTCCTCAGGAAAGCTTGTAGCTGATGTTTTTTTCCTGGGCTAGCTAGCTAGCACTGCTTTAAATTCTCTACTAAAAGAACTAGCATTGCAGGTATAACTGTACTAGAAAGAGTATCCATCATCAACCCTTAACCCAGAATGTACACCAACTTGTATATGAGGATAGAATAGTGCAAAATTCTAGAGTTAATATTCATCATCTGTCTATTTAGGGCATCTCATGTTCATTATGTGTGCAGTTCTTTACCTAACTCGTGCAATTTTATATGCCCCGAGACAGTTACATTCCACATGCCAACGATTGTTGATCATTTGTTATTGTAGTTGCCTCTTGCAGTGTTCTCATGGCCCCGAAGTCTCTTAACCCTTCTCATCCCGTGGTGCTAGAAAATCAACATTGGTTGTATCTTATCTTTAGCATGTACTGTAACACAGTTCACAATCACCTAGCATTAAATAGGTGCCTGGGAATTGGGCAATTGTGCACTGTAACTCGGAAGAATGTCAGTACAGAGGTTGTGCTAGGGGGTTCCTCGATGAGCGGAACTGCGGGCCGCTCCAAGCAACAGCCTGTTGGACCAAGCTCTCGCAAGTCGAGCCTGGTTCCGAGTTGGGCTTGGGAAGTAGAACTCCCAGAACTTCATTCAGGTACAAGCTTAAGCTTAACAGGCTTCTTGTCCTCAACAATGCAAAACCAAATTTTGGTGGGTTGCCTATCATATTGGCATTGCCTGCAATGGCCTAGATGCCTTTGCTGAAGAATTCATAAAAGTCCCATCTCAGTCAAATTCCTCACTTAGGCAACTTGCCTTATAACAAGGAGGTGGTCTGGTCGAGGACCAAGCCGCGAGGATGCTAAGCCCAGAAATCATCTCGAGATAACTTCAAGATAGGTTTCTTCCTTGGCTTTTATAATGTGATCTGCAACTGTGATTCGCCTTCTGTCATTGGAATAGGAAATGAGGAAATTTCCTTGACTAGGTCATGAATTGGTCACTCAAGAATAACATGAAAGGATTTAATATAAGGGAGACCTACATTATTTCATTAACAGCTGCACCACAACTTTTACAATGTTCCAATTTGCTGAATGATTGCAAGTTTTGCTTCCCTGATGTTCCTTCCCCCCAATCCCTGTCCTTTCCCAAATCCTTATCCTGATTCCTTCCCAGCACCAAGCCTTTAGTCATAATGGCTTGGTGCTTCTGATAATACACGCTTAACTCACGGTCACTTAATGGAGCACCGCCCTGCTCCTTATTGTCCAAATTGCATTGTCCCTCTTACACTCGTGCATATCCTAGTTGAATGTCTTGACTTCCGACTGTTCCTTGCGGTCACTTGTCCCTTGATAGAATTCTTGATGAATTGGAAACTTTTGATATCGTTCGCCTTGCGCATTTCTGTTCTCGTATTTGGCATCCTTGGTGATATTTGGCGTCCTCTGATTATTCCCCACATTTGACGGTGCTACATAGCCTTCCCGGTTTGGTGCCTTCTTTTGATAATTACTTACTTCTGATAATTCCTTCCTTGCTTCCAGTCACCTGTCCTTTGCTAAAATCCTTGCTGAATCAGACGCCATCACTTGACAGTGCTTGTGACTTTCTGCTCTTATACAGTATTGGTATTCTACATGATCTCTAGAGCTTCTTAAACATTGGTATTCTGTAACCTTGTTATAATTTATAGCTTTCCTGGCTTACATTTTTGTGATAATTATAGTACTTTCACTAGTCAATATTATGTATTGTAATTAGTCTCTCCCGTCTAGTCACATTTTGTACTTTACCGGTATATGTAATGCACTGAGTGAGTTTTGTAGTCCAATTATGTGCCTTAGCAACAGTATTGTTCACATCTATGTTCCATAGTCATGATATAACTTATTATTTACCTTGAATGAAATTTTGCTACATTTATGTATGTTATTTTCTTTGGAAATGTGCAACTGTCATATTCCATTTGCTGCTGATAGCTCTTCTACTGTATCTAATTTAATTTTATTAAACAACTTAGGGATACTGTACTACATTTGAATTATCCCAGGCGCTGCCTGCATGATACTTTTGAGCACACTGTAATAAGGCTTTGGATCCTACTAAGCACCAACCCTGAAAATGGCTTTGTAATGGGTGGGATCCAAGGCGTGTATGTTACAGGACACACCACCCTGTGACAGCAGAAAGTGGACATGTAAAACCTAATCAGATCATTGTAGTAACACCTCCAGACTCTTCGTATCATTGCAGTGGCTTACAAGGTAAAATTTTCATTGTAGTTGTATCATAGAACTACCATGTACAGTACTTTACTTAAAAGTATTAAAAATTTTATGCAATTTTATTTCTCATTTTTAAGTGATCCCAATAATTTAGATGTTTTGAGTGGAAACTAGCAGCACGAGATCTTTGCACACACACTCCAGGTCAGTAATTCCTCCAGCTTTGAATGGGGCTGTTAGTTTGCAACAATATTTCACTCTAGAGAGCATTAGTGTCTTAAAAAGCATCATTGGTGTGACATCTCTTGTTTAAAAGGTTCTTTTTATCCAACATGTTAATTTTTTGCAGTTCAACATCTAATTTGTTGCGTTCTTTAAAAGTAAGGTCTTCCAACATGATTACTCCTAAATATCTTGCATTGCTTTTTCTTTTAATAGTGTGGTTTGACTATTTCATGTTTTTTCCATAGTGCAGTAAATGGAACTTCTTATCATTAAACATTGTTATTTTCTGAGGCCTTGTGAAAGACTTGATTAACATACAATTGGAGGTTTGCTGCATCCTCTATATTGCCTACTCTCATGAAGATTCTAGTGCAAAGGATGATACAGGACTATAGTTTGTATCCTTGTCTATGTCTGATATGAGGGGAACGTACCAGAGCAGGCATGGTACCTTGGGGGGGGGGGGGGCCTGAACTTACCACAGTGGCTGATTCAGATTTTACTTTATTGACTGTTATACAGTGGGTTCCATTTGTTAGAAAGTTAAAGATCAATCTCCCTAATTTGCCAGTACAGTAATTCATTTTATGTACAATAACACCATGGTTACATTTGTCAAAAGCTTTTATAAAATCTGTATTACATCAGCATTTTGCTTGTCTTCCATGGAATCTATGGCCAAGTCATAGTGGTCTAACAATTGCGAGAGGCAGGAGTGCTGTGTCCTGAACTCGTGTTGCCCAGGGTTATGTAGACGCTGATTCCATGTGTTTTGTGATCTCACTTTTGCATGGTGATGTATCACCACTTTGTTCACCCCTTTATCTTCTATTCATGATGGGTGCTCAATCTGATAATACCCAATGCTTAATAAAGCATCCACAAGACCTGCTGAGACACCCAAGGGATGCTTGTTGGCATCTCCTACAACAGTAACACTTGCCACTAAGAGAATGTCATATGATTGACATATCCCTTAAAGGTAAGTGCTTTTGTTTTAGTACTTAACCCTTAACAATAATTTGCCCATAGGCTTCTATAAATCTTTTTATTTGATCTCGGAACCCTAAGTTCCCCAGGCCTGTTGAGCACACTAGGTCCTGGTAGTTTTATTAATGTCTGGTACCAGAACCAACATGTACCAGGAAGCTACCAAGGGTTAGTTTAGAAATGGCTGCAGACCAATTTGTATCAACAGATCCTCCCTACTACATATATATCAACACACCTGTTTGCTCTGCACAAGTTGCTAGAAGGAACCTAGAAGATATAGTTTTAAAGGATTATTCATGAAGATTTTAAATGTAGAGTCCAGTTAAGTCTTGGGTCTATCATGTCATACTGAGAAATTGAACCATATCTTTGTAAGGAAAGAGCAGGTCAAGGTGGAAGCAGGTGCTCCGATCTTATTTTTAGTGAAATTCATCAAAACTATTTTGTGTAGGGAGATGTTAAAGCTTAAGTTAAAGTTCTGTTGCAAAGGAGGCTTAGTGTCTTGTGTATAGTTGACAAGTCAAGACCCCGAGATAAATGGCATGGTCATCAGCATAGAGGGTTATGGACACTCGCTGATGACAGTAGTAACAATGATAAGGGCAGTGAGAAAGTCAGTGATCAGTGATAAGGTTCTTCAAGAAACCCCCTTCTATGGTAATTCGAAAATGGTCTATATTCGTATACAGGATCACCATAGTAGTTTTATTCCTGGCAGGGCCAGTTGTTGCCAGTATTAAGACTGGCAACTGTCTGCACTTACCTCGAACAACTTGTTATTGAATTAGTTAATGCAACAGTATCTCTCTCCACATTCTCTAGTTCATTGTAATTTAATTCAAACAATTAGAACAATATTCATGCATTCAAACAAATTGCATTCAGAATGTCACTCATTATATGGTGTTATTGTCCTTTATGACTGGTTCACAAGCCAAGTTGTGTTGTCAATACATCTTCCGGTACACGCAAGACAATGATACTAACAAAATTAAACTCATCTTTCAGCTGTAGCAGGTGGTTCTAAACCTGCGCATCATTGAGTTTAATGTCCTCAGCTGGAATGACTGGTGACCTCTCCCAACGGAAACCTTTTATTTGAACACTAACCAATATATGAGACAGTGATGAATGCCTGTTGCTGTACTAGTATTTAGTAATTCGATTCGATAATTTAGTGAAGCGATTCTTCGCGGCAGGGGATCGTATTCCAGGGACCATAGGATTAAGGACTTGCCCGAAACGCTACGCGTACTAGTGGCTGTACAAGAATGTAACAACTCTTGTATATATCTCAAAAAAAAAAAAAAAAAAAAATTAAACCATATTCTTAGTGATGGGCTGGGGTCAAAAGTAGCATGTCCTCTGTCAGCAAAGTGTTGGTGAGTGAAGTTTGGCTAAGTGGAACTGGTTACTTGAGTTCTGGTGTGCAAGTGGTACTTGGTACTCACCTGGTTGTACTCACGTAATTATGCTTGCGGGGGTTGAGCTCTGGCTCTTTGGTCCCGCCTCTCAACCGTCAATCAACTGGTGTACAGGTTCCTGAGCCTATAGGGCTCTATCATATCTACACTTCAAACTGTGTATAGAGTCAGCCTCCACCACATTACTTGGTGGTTGGCTTCCTGTGCAGGCGTGAAGCTCCCTCCTGCCTACTGCTTTATATACAGGTACTGTACTTGGTTTCCATATTTATAATATTATGTATATTTCAGTACATTAATAAGTGTTGTTGTTTATGGATTCATTCAGTAATTAATGAATAAGAGCACAGGTTGTTTAAGGGTATCTTTACACTTTCTGATAAACCAATTTCCCAACTCAAAGATTTAGCTTAACACTTGCCAAAGACAAAACAACGTGACATTATTTTAACATTCTACACATATGCTCTTTGGATTTGGTACCTATATGTTATCTCTTTACAAAATATTGTACTGGATATAATAGTGACAAACGAATTTCAATGCATCTAATACTGTAAAATTTACGAGAATCATTAATAATGGTTATAGTGGGTCAACATGAACCTAATTCTCCTATGTTTTAAACATCCACAATGAAACAAGTTGGAATATGTGACTGGGTTTTAAAGTCAGTAGTGGATGTTAAATATTTGTACATATAAATGGTGGATCTTTTTCACACCTTCCTTATTGAGATTGGGGGCTGATAATGTTTTTGAAAAAAAAAAAATTGGTAATGAACGTCATCAGTTGATCCCAAGGACCAATATTGAACGAGTATGCCTTTCTGCCAGTCATATCGCAGACCTCTATCAAACCACACACAAAGAGGGTGGTGTTTGTTTACAAGAGTGTTTTGTGTATGCCAAGTCCACTACGGGCTCGCCATAGCCCGTGCTACTTGGAACATTTGTTCCGAGTAGCTGAATCTTTAACAACAAAGACCGTCTCTGGCAAGTCCTTAAGAATGTGTTTAAAGACCTGTACTTTCCTAAAACCTTACTGATGTGAAATAGACAATGGGTGTGCTCAAAAGTACCAGTCGAGTGAATTTTAGAATGGAGAAGACCAAGTCCAGAAAGATGGATAGCTACATTTAGTTTAATCCCACTGACGAAAAAATAAAAATCTTACGTTTTAAGTTGGCTTTTATTAGCAAAATGGTTTTACAGCAGTGAAGGAGTAAGATTATTTTATCAACAAACAATAAAAGCTGCTGCAGTGACCACAGACATCAAGTGCATCAACAGACTTGCATCACAACCGCAACCACATACAAAATGCTCGACTGTTCTTCCAACTTACACTGGTTGGTTATACAGTTGGAATATCATCAGCCTAATTACTTAACACTCAA